ATGCCTATCTCAGTTAATTGTAGTTTAGTAGACTCGTATTACTGATGCTGGATGATGATTGGCTCACGTAGCAGTCTGCTAGATCCCTTATTGGGTGAAGTGAAATTAAGAACTGGTTATCGACTAGGTCTGGTAACTCAGCTGGTGGAACACCAGGGTGGTAACCTGGAGGCCACTGGTTCAAATCCTCTCATGCCCTAGATCTTCATCTCACCTTCAATTACCTCCATCTTGAATCACCAACCATCTTAGCATTGACAATCAAAAGTGACCTGCTTATAATTCCTAATTCACAATCTTCTTTGAAGAATGCATCCTCCGCAAACTTGGCTTGTATTATGTTGAACAATTCCAGTTACTAACTAGAGAACCTGAAGAGAATCTGCGCTCATATTGTTTACTTAATAAATGTAATTGTAACCTTTAAATGCTAAATGCCAAAAGGTGTGAAATTTCATATATCCTATTATGTGGAACATGCGTATTGTTATTCACATTCTCCTAGACTGAAAATAAGAAAGGAAATGGTTAGAGATGACGTCGTAGTCATTTTGTGTACGTTAGAGTATATAAGGTAGATTAGTGTATTGTTTCTGCAAGTGTGTAAGGATGACTTCACATTAGCCAATTTTCCTCCTTTGCATTGTCGATATAAAGCAGAAATGACTAGTAGTAATAATGATCAAGGTAATAGTAAAACATTACCGATAAAGATAGTGAGCTGTTGTTGATGTAAAGATCATAAAGATAAGACTAATGGTGATAGTTAACCAAAAGGTTACCCTTTCCACTTGTCAATAAAGTAGGTTTTCAATGATTCATCAACTGGTGTCATCCCGTGATGAGTACTGCTCTGTATCAGTTAATCTCAACATTGAAACTGGTTTCTTTATGAATATTGCTCCGAATACCAATCACTTCCTAGTCGTTCACTTATACCTCTGTAGTCATAAATCGAACTTCGGAATTTTTGTCATTGAATCTAATACATGAACTACAGAGGAAACTCTGATAACGCAATTTATCAGATGAGATCCCTAGTTAAAAGCAGTTTTAAGCGTAAACTGTGACTGTATCATAGATTAAGAAGAGATAGGATTCTTCAAAAAATGGAGATTAAAATGTATGATGTATGCAAATTAGTTGTATACTTAACATTTTTATCAGTCAGTATTAAAACACCATGTATAGTTCAAGGGAAAAACTTAGACACCATGGTAGAAGATTATTCCATATTAGATTTACGTATTTAACCTAGTATGTGAAGATACTACACAGTTTACTTTATCACCAAAAACTGTGTATATACTAGGAATGATGCAGGAGCTATCCCCTAAACGTGTAAAGTCACACAGCCGAAAACGAAGAAAATGAAGTGATAGAACTACGAAAACCAGATACTGGGAGTTTTGTAATAACTGTGATGTGACTATGATTAATAATATGTATTTGAAACTTCAGGCAGTAAATGGTACCATCTTTATGTACTGTAGAAAACAAGCAAAATATTAGATGCGATAATGATAGTAATACAAGCAACGCCATAATGTATAAAATAAATTACCCAGAAAAAGAATGTTTCCAGTGGATATTTGAGACGGTAAATCATGTATGTTTGAGAAATAACAGGGTAAAACGTTATTTCTAGATAACTGGACTGTCGCGAAAATCCACGAGTAGTGAATGAGTTTACTAATTTACTGGGTTACTTTGTAACCTTGGTGAGATGATGTCGCATCCTGTGAGTGGAAGTTTAGACTGATAGTGACTTGAGTATATTTTCGTTCAGCCAAAATTTTTAAAAAACCAAGCACTATACACTAGATCATAACGACATTGTGGAGTCATACGCTGATGCAGCTGAATAATGTGCGTCATTTAGAACTCTCACTGTTTATTTTTTACAACTTTATCTATACTAGTTGTCTGAAGACTACATCAATAAAATTAAACGAAAACAGTGTGATGAGATGAAATAAAATTTACTAATGAGTATAAAAGCTTACATTACTACTGAAATATCCTTCCTGACCCATTCTATAAATATATTCACAGGTAAAGGTTGGGAATTTTACAAACTAAGCATGTAGCGTAGTGTTACTATTATAAGAGCTACTAGGTCATTTTGATTCAACACTCCCGAACAGTTCTTAAAAGGTAATCAGTACAAAATGGAGAGATCGGTAAGTGAACAACCAAGCACATAACCTACAAAATGATTAGCCTTGAAGAGATGAAACTGGCTGATACTACCTGATAAGAAAAAATATTTATTGCTAGCTGCAAAACTCCTAAATCAACTGTATACATTTCTGCTCAGCATTCAAGTCACATATTTATAGTATGTTTCTGTCCAGTCGCTGAATAAATTGATCAGTCACTATTCTTCATAACAGCAGTACAAATAGTTGAGGAAAACATTGCTCTTGTTTTCATTTATATAAAAACACCCAGCTAACATTTCATATTTTTAATTCCTTATTAATTGCATAAACTTGACTTGGTTTCTGGGTTCCAAAAAGCACTCAGTATGTTCATGAAATCCACATCAAAACTAAATTCATTGGGAATAAACAGCAATATATCGAAGTGAATATTTGCCTAAATTTGTCAGTCGAATGATTTCATTACAATAAAACGAACAAATTTTGCAGTTTATATTGTATTTTCCGGGTTTATTGTCAGTTGCCAACACGTTTAGAGTGGCAAACTATTCGATCAAATGATGATAGTTATATTATATGTTGATACTTTTAATTTCCCGTTGTTATACTGGGTGACTTAATGATCTCTGCGTGTATGTGGACTCCGGTACGTATGTCTAGATATTGCCTTAACATTCATTGTTATAATTTACCTGGTGGTGACAAGCGGTGGAATCCATGACGCAGGGTTCCTCCTAATTGGGACTTTGATGATTGAAGGGATCGTTGTGGGGTTCCAACCTCAGTAGAAACACCATCAGTCATTACCGCACAAGTACGTCCAGCTAACGAGTCTCAGACAGTACGAAATGCGCATCCTGGATTCCGTTGTTGGCTAACAAGCACACTACAACATAATGAGTAATCCAGCAGTATCGAGACATCCACATACGAAACAATCTGACAACAAAGGTTGAGCAATTAAACCCAATATAGCAATGAGAAATCAATGTTTATATTTTGTTGATGTTCCAGTAGTAAAGAGTGTTTAAACATTCTCTATTTAATCATTTGTTGGATTATTTACACATATCCACTGCCCTTGACTGAAGACAAAAACAACAGAATGGTAGGTAAATGAGTTTGCCTATAGAATTCAACAATGAATTGAAACTATTGTGAAGGCTAAACTCGAAATCATTTCGTTTTTATCAATTGAAATTGAATAAGACTCACTGAAACATTTATTCTGTGGTAAATAGGACAAAGGCATGCAAATAGTAGGTATTTCGACAATAATAATGACAGCAATAATAATAATCTCAAGGACGAAAAGATCAATGGGAACAGCACGGTACTGCAAACGTGCAGACAAGCAATGTCGATCAACAAAATTCTCAGCAATTCTAGTATTATTTATTTATCTTTCCTTCCCCTGGTTCCAATTTCTTCAAAAGTGCTACCGTAAACATGAACTGACGCTGCTGAGTGGAAGGTTTTGCATTGATTCATCTGTCTCTTCAGTAGCTTTTGAAGACTAGTGTAAGGTTGAAAGTTTGTTGGTTACTTTGGAGGCATTTTTTATATCATGACCATGTACTGTGCAAGTGAGCAAGTGAGTCGTTGATGCCATTTGCATCTTTCAGATGTAGGTTTATCTGAATATATTCAGCAAAATGAGTGGTGGGCTGTTTCTCTAATATTTAAATGTATCTACTTCGGTGATTATATGTAGATTGGTAATTGTTGACGCCAATGAAATTAGATGGATTTTTACCTACTTCAGTTTCTTTTATTGTACGCATTGGAAATCACTTTCACCTCAGATGGGACGTGTGACTTCCATTCATTGACCGACTAAAGAACTAAACAAAGTAATTTAAGGAAGACAGTAAAAGGCGAAGTGGAACTAACGGATACAATGTGAACACATCTTACTGATGTGATCAGTTTTGATCTAAATCACGTAGGGTGTGTAACTGTGGATTTCTAATCATTCAATATCTGAAACTTGGAGGCCTATTTTTCCTTCTTGATTCATATTCAGTCATGTATTTCAAGAACTGGTGAAAATTGCCTCTTTTATAATTCAAGTCAACATAGCACATCAGAGTAAACAAAGATTAAACATGTCATGGCCACCTTATAAAATGTATTTCCATAATATAGAAGAGTGAACTGCTTTCATTAACTACAACTGAGTGCTTGACCTCAACATTGCTTACTCTGTAATTCCAAAACACCGTCGTCACTACTGACAGAAACTGTTTCAGTTATAAAACTTTAACACTGTAGACTTTGAACTTAAGAATGTAGTATACTTTATTACTATTTGTTTGACTGAAGAAACAAATTTTATATGGAAGTTTGTTATCACGCCATCTGAACATTTTTGTACAAAAATGAAGCTTAAAAGCATCTACACGATTATTATTTTCGATGCAGTCATTCACTTCTCATCCATAAATACTGGGTTTTGCCGATACAACTTATGGTTTCAATATGCCACCTTAGAGTTTCGCAATGGATTTTATACTAGTACATTATCTAATTGATGAGGCTTTTTAAGTGAAGATGAATAAGGTGTTTTACAGAAAAGAGTAAATGTTGTATGAATTCCTTATCCTCATAAAACTTTGAAAGAAATTATTTTTGTCGTGCATAAGGATCATATGGGTTATTTTAAATGATTTGTATCAATCAGCTAACTGCGTTGATGAAGCAACTTACGTACATTACCCCCAGCTTTAGGGTTTTTCTTTATATTTCAGCTTAGAAAAAGGCTTGAGGTTGACCAAGTCTCATTTTCTCGTATTTATGTATGTAAAATTTGCTGCTTTTTGTTTTACCTTCTAGCTATCTGATAATTAAAGAAGTCTATCAATGTCAAAGTCAACACAAGTTTTGTTATGGTTGTATATATACATGGTCTACAGGACCGACACCTGGTCATGATAGCTGTCCAGTATGCAGATGTGATGGCTTGTATGCAAAAAATTTTGACGTGAGTTAATTAAGTGTCTCTATGTATCATAATTCATTCTCTTAGGGAGTAAAAATTGTTACGGTATACAGAGGTTTATATAATCCTTTGTGGATGAAAGTAATCTGTCAGAAAGAAATTATTAAAAACCGTTTATATCAACCATAAGCGAATAAAAAAGTACCATACATGAAAAACTTGTGTTTCGGGGTAAGATCTTATTGTAAAGTATAGTTTTTAAGCGAATAAATGCTCAAGATGCATTGAAATCTCCATGTTTTGAATAATTTCATGGCTAGTAATTATTACAAAGCACATCAACATCTAATTGGTCTCAGCCAATCAACTGCCAAGCTAATTAAAAAGAAATATAACATCTGTACACTCTGTTAGGATCCAAGTTAATAGCAGCTTACTAACTTCCATTTATCTCTCCCTTCACATTTCCCCTCTCGATTGCATCAGTTTCTTCTGTTTCGTTTCATGATGATTAGCATTACCCACTTAATGTTTGTCTCCTCACTTGCGTTCATTTTCTGATACCAGCATAAAAACTTACAACTTCCTCAACTCATTCTGCATGTATAGGTAATAGGTGAAGCCAGAGAAACACAATTCAAAGTTTCCTAATTCTTTGCTGCTAATTTCCTACTGAAGCTGTCAACGTTGGAAATTTAGGCGAAATTCTGCAATCGCAAGCCGTAGACGTATTTGGTGTTTCTGATAAACGTATATGGAACCCGAGTATGACTGTTCTTTTGGCCTCGCCTAGTCAGTGCAGCGAATCTACAAAATCCAATATAGGTGTGTCCGGCGATTAGATGACTAGGTTTCGTAAACTGACCGGTGTGGGTATAGCATCACATTATGAGGCAGAAAACTCAAGTCTTGACTGAGTACCAGTCCGGAACTGTTCATACGCTGTCTAACTGGATGAATTAGTGAGAATAGCCAAGTACTGTAACATCAATGAATACCTTTTCGTAATCTCTGGCTACACCCTCATCGACTGCATTTTGGATGATGCAGAAGACGAATTCTATCAAAAGCTGTTAGTTTTGCTACAGAAAGAAAAAACGTTCAGATATAGTCATAGTAGTACGCAACTTCAGCGCTCAAGTACGAAAGCCTAGTCAGTTGGAGAGGCATCTTAGAAGCATCTGTTTTATCCTGTGCCAACTGTACTCGTCCTTTACAAGTACAAGGAAAGACACTATCTCGCATGGTGTCAACTGACATCAGGCCAGCGATGGAAATAGATACGTAACTTTGCAATGAGCTATCATTAGAGAGTATCAACGGGGTTGCCGCTGTCTTTTGGGTACGTGTTAAGACTCTGATCACATGCTGGTGCGGGTACGTGCGTGTCTGCGGTTTACTGGCCATAGAAAACAGACAACAGTGAATCATGTATTTGGTCGACTTGAAGATGGGGACATCAAACGTGAATTTCTACAGGAGACAGCTGAGAATTTAATGATAGAAATTCTTATTCTGGTTAGTCATGGAGTCATATACAATCTGCTGCAGAAACAGTAGTAATGACAGTTCGTAACCTGCACCCACTTGTTAGGGGAAGCCAGTGAATTTCTCAGACCTCATCCTAACTGATTTATGGGAGAAGCCCTATTCCAACGGGTTCTTAGCACAAAGAGGGGCGAAAGCACCTCACACGTAAATTGAGTATAAGTCGTCTCAAAGATCGCCAGTAGCGTCGGATGGGTAGCGAAAATGAGAAATGTGAGGAAGACGCAAGCTTTAGATAATACTTGACGACTACTTAGGTTTATTGAGGATTCTGATAGAAAGAAGACAGTGATCATTCATACCAGTGGTGGAAAGTATGGGACCATGATAACTATTCGGGACAGATGGATGGAACGTTTTGTGGAAAACTTTAAGAAACAGCTCAACTCTAACCTGATTGCAACGTAGGCAACGGTCCTCTAACTGTTCTTCACTTTGGAAAGGCTGCTTCAAACAGGAAACGATGCGAATCAGTAGAACCGGGTGGTTCTCCATCTGTAGTATCTAAGGAGAGAGGTAGGAAATTATTGAGTGCAGTTAAGGAGATGCTAGCTGGCAAATAGTCTGGATAGGTGATCATTCAGCTTTGTGAGAATGAAGGAAGGCTATCCTGTGATATGCATAGAGCGATAGGTTAAACTAAAATAGTATCCAAGATCCTAGGGTTCATAATTATCTTATGACTAACTTGACCTCGGGAGCAGCAATCTTGAAACAACTAGGCATATTATAGAACTGGATGGTGTGTCGACCAGTTTTTCACTCTTTGACAGCTCCTCGAAGGTAGATATACTTACAGGTGACAGTTGCTGGCCATATTTCTTTGTCTGAAGGCGGTATTTGACTGTGTGAACCAAGAGATTTTGTTGCAGTGTTTGAGTGAGACGAAAGTGTCGATTAAATATGTAATGCTAATCAAAGCCCTCTATTTGAGCTCAAGAAGGTGTGTAAGGGATTATAAGGAGATATCTCCTGAAATTGTAATAGCCAGTACTTTGAAAAAGATGCTTGCAGTCACCAACTTTACTGAATGAGGTGGCTTGCATAGGTGTCGCTAATAGAAAGACACCACCTACCTCGACATGCAATGTAAGCCAAAACTGGACTGGTTGGGAGGCAACCTCAGGATTTTCGGAGCAAGAAGTGGCACCAATCCAAGGAATCTATTACTGTTTATCTTAAGTGCGTAGGTGTAGACTTCTTGACTAAAGTACCCGCGACTATAGGAATCAGTGGTTGAGGACTCTTGGGGACATGGCTGAAGATCAGTCACAATGAGACATAAATATTTACACTATGATTTCTCACAAAGTTCGAACAATTTCACTAACCCTTATCTTTATTTTTTTTCTTCCATGGATTTTTTTCTTTTCCGTCCAGTTATATGTTGGAAAGTTTATCAACTTGAACCGGTGCATTTCTGTGCGAGGTTCTGTGTTGATTTTATCTGTCTGTCTAACATGTGTACAAACTCTTACGTTTGTTTTTCGTACAGAACTAATCGCATGATATGACAAGATTCTACCATGCAATGATGTAATTAAAGGCTTATACATTATCACATATTAGTTAAGGGTTTTGCGCAAGCAACCACTGATCTTTATTCATATATTTATTTTCTTCTGGAGGTCCATATTTGACATCATCGCGATAATGTATACTCAGAAATACAGAATTATTCAGTTTACGGGTTTTACAGAAAAAAAGAGATCAATTTACGTGAAATAAGATTTCTAAGTATTTTCTACTGTCACCTTCGATATATGCATGAAAAAGCTTATTACGTATGGGATATAAATCCGCCAATGGATTCTGAGTGCTTAACATCTACTAATTCATAGAAAATCACAGCACATAAGTTTAATGGGTTACTTCTATATAAGTCTCTTTCGTGTAAAATATCAAACGGCGGCAGCTTGGGAAACCAGGAATAATTTTGTTGACCTTAAAGCTTTTCATTACAGTTGCCGGAATGAATGTCCACGTAGCCAAATTAGGAAATAATAATGTTCTCATTTGCAGCATATAAACTACTCAGAAATGTTTTCATTTTACTTTACTTCATGTGTAAACGTTTCTGAGTAATCACTAGTAATAATAATAATAGCGATAATAATAGTAATAATAATAATAATAGCTTTACTCCAAACAAGACTTGTGGTACAGTGTGGAATTCTCAGCATGTAATGGTTCAACAAATTCTTTCCCTGAACAATATCTATAGGCGAAATAATCACTGCTTTCCAATAATGTTAATAATAACAGTAATAAAAGCAAAAATGTGAAACGGACACCTAGTGTTACATTACCGTCTGGTTTGGACTGGTGAATGAATAAAATATTGAGCGTAATTTGGTGGTGGTAGTTTATCCAGCCAGAACCGAAATCTGCAATTCGACATAGTTATCTAAATAGTAGTAATATACGGCATGTTGTTTATTCTTTGTTAGCATGCAGAGCAGCAGGTGGACACCATTTTAAAAGTTCGCAAGAGTACTTGACCCGTTTAAAATACTTATTTGGAAGATTAAAACAAATTAAAAGGAATGAATTCGATGGAATAAATTCCTCTGGAGATTTTCGGTACCTCAAAGTTTAGTCAGGCTGGCATTATCATTCTGTCTTATGAACCAAATCCTTTAAACTATAATAATATAGCACCTTCCGTTCAACAAGGATATTTTGTGTCATTAAATTGAGTAAACAGAGAAGTCAGATATTGCTCTTAATTTAAAAACAGCCTTCAAACACCATTCATTTATATAGATACATAGAAATGAATAGTACCTTAAAAGCTTCATCTCTGTCATCCATTTTCTGGGTGTCCTAAAATCTAGTATCAAAATCCAGTAGGTATGGAAGGCTGGTTCGGTTCTCACCAACTTACCTCATACATTGCAACGGCAAGATATATGAAGTCTTGTTATTGACTGCTAGATAGTTGCCCTGTTTTGACACTGCTATCAGATATGATTACCCAAAACTCGAAGGTGTCATAAATTGATAAATATATAAAAGTGGCAACTTGAGAGCATTTTTCATGTGCGTTGTAACGACTGAGAAAGTGGTATTGAAGTTAGGTAAAGTAGAAGTGTAAGATAATGAAGTTATAAATCTTTATCGAAGGAGGTAGTCAAGAAATGAACAAATGATACGAGGCTACAACTTATCCTAGCGTATTGTGATAACTAAGATAAATCTAGGATGAAAACGTTTAAGAGTGATCAAGCAAAAATAGGGCATCATTCTGTGAAAGCATATGAAAAAATTTAGGTGAGAAATCTTATGCATATTCACATATGAGTTGCACTTATGGGACGACGGTTAATGGTACCATCTGAATGCTAAAATGCCGGCAGGTGAAGTGAGATTACAACTCACAACTGACGGGTACGTAAGTTAATCAGTCTCATCTCCAAACATAAACGATAAAGTTTTTGACAGTTGTTTCGAGTATTGTAAAGAAGTATGGGCCTTAAGGTTGGTAGATAGCCATAGACTTATTCAATGTGCTTTATATAAATCAGTTATTCTGGTCTCTACAAAAGTAGTACGACCTTGTTCTTTATTTCAGGATATATTTTCTTAGTCGCTTGTTATTTCTATTCCCATCTTTCCTTTCTTATTGGCTCCCGCTTCTTTATTATCTCTAAAGTCTGATGACTTGGAAGGATGCAACATTGTATTGGATCGCGTATTGAAAACGTTTTTGCATTTGCCTGTGTATGTAACAGATACGGTTGTTTGCAATAAAACCTATCCTAGGTATACTAGGAATGTGAATAGAATGTATTAGAAACAGTAAATCAAGTTGATCTACTTTCTTCACGTACACCTCAAATTCGTTCAACTAATATCTGATAATGGCTAGTGTTTACGGTATTCAAGGATTGGGTGAACATAAAATTAGGAGATCAGCTTATGAACAACATAGACTATGGAGGAGACTACTACTGTGTAGGATTTCAGTATGTGTGTGACTTTGGCCTAAAAATTCTACACATCAGAGAAACAGCTATTTAGATCACTCTGGATCACTTCTTCATACACTCTATTTTTAATTGACTTTCTTTTTGTAATACAGAAAAATATTAAATGAACACTGGAGACTATTAAATTATCCGCATAGTTTATATTATTTCATGGAGAGTTATAAGTTTACATACTGTAAACCAAAGGTAATTTGTGTGACAAACAGACTGAAGGGAAGACGTTTAACTCATCGTACGGTAAATGATTCCTTCAATACTCAAGCAGTGTATTATTTGATACTAAACTTTATCGTATTCATCTGTGTTTACTGTGTTAAATTTAAGTAAAATCCACTTGCATGTTCCGATGAGTCTTATTCAATTTCAATTGATAAAAACGAAATGATTTCGAGTTTAGCCTTCACAATAGTTTCAATTCATTGTTGAATTCTATAGGCAAACTCATTTACCTACCATTCTGTTGTTTTTGTCTTCAGTCAAGGGCAGTGGATATGTGTAAATAATCCAACAAATGATTAAATAGAGAATGTTTAAACACTCTTTACTACTGGAACATCAACAAAATATAAACATTGATCTCTCATTGCTATATTGGGTTTAATTGCTCAACCTTTGTTGTCAGATTGTTTCGTATGTGGATGTCTCGATACTGCTGGATTACTCATTATGTTGTAGTGTGCTTGTTAGCCAACAACGGAATCCAGGATGCGCTTTACGTCCTGTTTGCGCTAACATCTCTTCACTCAGGTTTACGAGGCTTTCTCAGTAACAGAAGTGATCTTACCCGTAAAATAGCAAGCTTATTTTTATATACAACCTATGTTCACTCCGGATTTAGTCGGTCATAGGGCTAGTAGCTAGTGTGATGATGAACGGATAGTTATAGATCACTGACTTAAATGACAGTAGAGCGAAATTCTGAATGAATAAATTCTCAGTGAGTCCCAGTTAGCAGCTGGATCTCGTAGCTTAGTTGATAGAGCGATGAGCCGGTAATCCATAGATCTATAATTCGAATCCCATCACAGGTTAAGATGCATCCGGATGATTAATCACACTTAAGATGAAAAGCGTTACGAATTCGAACCCCGCTCCACATACTGAGGTTTGGGCAGCCAGGTAGCATTACCCCACACGAAAAATCGGTGTGACTCATTGCGTCCTACACGAATGCATACAAGGTTGCTGACTGCATTTTGACTTTGACCTCGGATTCTGTTGACTTCCACAGACACAAGAAATAACCTGAACATGAAAGTCATAACCATATTAAGTTCACTGTACACGGAATGTCTCTTTACCAACAGAAGTCAATCATTTTGGTCCAATAGGGTTAGATTACAAAATCTAAATAATCGGTGAAAGCAACTTCAAAATTATACTAACTATCTTGCCCTTCTTAATAATTTTTTCTGGAAAATGGCACACAAATGTTTGCAGTCTGTATAAAGCAAACTGACTTCCATCAGAGAATCGCACCCAAGATGATATCGAAAGGCTTTACGCCATTCACTAATAGAACTCCATCCAGAATACTCATAGACAGACCAGAAGAGATTAACCATTGTGGCAGATCAAGTATGACAACTTTCGTTGTTACTTTATTTGTTAAGATTTAATTCTCTGCAGAAGCGATTTCCACGGAGTCACCAAATATCAGAAATTTATTTTTCTACCTCATTGGAATTTTACAAATATATTTCATTTATAACCCATTTGCCCAGTGTTCAACTTATTCAATTCTATCAGGTTAAGTTTTGATCCTGAAGTTTTTGAATTATTGAGATAATTTTCCGCTGGTTCGTTTACTTTTACATTTTTAGTTAGATGACCGAATCAATAGAAAACGTGTTCGATGCACATTGAACAATTGTAATTGGATGGGTCTGTTAAGCGTATATAATCAGCATGAACACAGACGTTATAGTCCGTATGAATTAGACTTATTATTGGCAGATTGTAGAAAGGACAAACTGAAATCGTCAACATCATTATTCCCAATGTCAGAACAAAATCAAGTAGCAGCATACAATGATAAGGAAATATCAGTAAAATTAAATGATACTTCACAAATAAATGAAACAATAGACGCAAGTAATCGATATCTTGATAATCATGGTCGTGATCATCAACATGGTTTAGATCCTGGAAGAGTACCTGTTGTATGCGAACCGATAGATCAGTCACCTGAGATCCCATCTGGAAGATTATTGACATCACAAAGAAGAATACGACCTTTAAGAAATGGAAATAGACAGAGGCACAGGTTACCATCATCCTCAAGTCAAATTCAAAACCGACAGATCTTACAGATACGCAGTGGAGTGAGTCAGTCACAAGGTAGTGCGGCAGAAACGCGGATTCACCCATCTGATAACCATAATCTGTTGTCTGTGGTAAATAATTCACAAGGTATTAACAACTATGTGCATTCAAATCTATTACAAGGAGAGCAACAACATCAAACTTTGACATACATACAAAGACAAACACAGAGTCATATAACATCAAGTGCAACTGCACACACAAATGTTACTAATACTAGACAGAGGTCATCGCCTATTGTAAGGGATTCGCGAACTCATACGAACAGATTTCCTAATCTAAGACAGTCAGGAGGTGAAAACACACCTTTATCTATACACTCCTCAGAATACGAAAATGCAAATAATCAAACTAGGGGCGCTTATAGTCTACTTGATTTAGATTCTTATGATATTCAAAGTCAAGATACGCTAGGTGTAGGAGACCGTACAGAAATAAACGCAAACGGCCGAAACTCAAATATTTCTAGAACTGTCCAGGTTAGTCTTCCAGCTATAAGTTTTAACCAATCACTTACTTGTGGTTTGAATACACCACCACCAATCAATAACACTCAACGTTTGCAAAGTTTTAATCTCGCAAATAACACAATTTCAAGGACTGGCCAGCCACTTGAATTCCGTCGTCTAGTACCTCAGCGACAAAGGAAAGTAGTAGAACAGCTGAGAGAAACCCGGGAACAATTAGCCGCGATGCTTCGTCTAATGACTATGGAGTTAGAAGAAAGACAAAATCGTGTTTTGAATTTTAACCTAGAAATGAGTGCACGGAATAGACTATTAAGAAATCCAAATAATTTACATTCAAACAATAGAGAAGACAGTGTTGCTGTGCATCCAGATGATACAGAAAGTCACGATTTTATTGAGTTAAACAACCAGAACATTTTCCATAGTAGACACTCGCGCACGACAAATACAAACGGTAATGACATCCAGTCAAATTATCAGACATATCAGTCGTATAACTCAAGTACACCTGTTTCAACAATTACCAGCATAAATAATAATTCCAGTAGAAATATATCTAGAACACTTCTGACACCAACATACAGAGAGAGAACTACTACGATGAATACGGAACAGAATAACAGTAGCAACAATCAGCATGGTACAATTCCTGCTCCAATGAATAGTACCAGTCAGTCGTCTGCATCACCGTTAACTTCAACGGCAAGATTACTAGCACGTTTACGACTTAATGCGCTAGCACAAACAACTCCATTTTTATTCATGTCGAATCACAGAAGTATGAATTTAAATGAATCTGATTTAGGACATACTTCACCACCAACAGCAGCAACACCACTGTCATCATTTATGACAAGTGACAGCAGTAATGATGAAAATGGAGGAGACAGTGATGACGAAGAAGAAGACTAGTTTAACGTACGGTATGTTGATCAGACACGACCAGGAGGCCAGTATTTAATTAACCAAAGAAAAAGACACATATAAAGATAAGATTCATTTCTTTTCAATTAGACTATATTATATAATAACTGAAGAGAAATTACTTACCATATTTTAGTGTCTTTTTATTAAAATTTTAAAAAATATGCAGTCTATTTCTTGAGCACTCGTATTCCAGCAACGTAATGTAACAAGATAACATGCTATATGGATGCTTGATCGTGGGCTTTCAGCTTAATCAGTCCGTTAAAACAATAAAGCTCAGGATAACTGTTGGATCGCATTGAACTCAAGGCTGTTGATTTTACGGAGATATTTGCTTTTAGATAAATATGCGTATTAAAGAAAGAGAGAATTATTTGGTAATTTGTGTAACACCCAATATTAAAGAACATTGCTTTGGAACGGATTTTCTGCACGATGATGATTGAAGGTTAGGTTGCAGCAGAATTAGAATTAAAGACTTTTCAATTAGTGTCTCAGCAGTGTGTAACAAACTCACAAAACACATATCAAATAAGGTAAAAGGTGTGTTAAAGATTAAATCCATATAGTAAAAGTGGAGCTGTATTTCATGGAATTAGATATTCAACTTTCAGTCAGTGGGTCACAATTTCATATCCTGCGTCACCTTTCAATCTCTGCGTAGCTAGGAAAAACCACTGATTTATGTTTGCCTGTTGAGTTGTATTTTAGTATACCACAATGAACAGCAATTATACCAACCATAGTTAACTGAATTCGGAGAATGTACTCTAACGGAGTCCTACCCACTAAGAGCATCATAATCTGTTCTCCAGAAAACTTGGCAATCCTAGATTCTACGTAGTCATGACTACGTACTGCTAAGGTATTCCACTCTGAGATAAAACAGGCTTCCAGTGCTCGATGGTTTTTAGGTTTAATTTGAGGGGTTTGTCGCGAACTGACAGAAGTTGGAGATATGGACCGTTGAATTCCAACTCAGTGGTACATACTGGCCGTGGAACCTGGAGGCCCCGGGTTCGACCCCCAGGAGGGTTACGGTTGCGGACATTCGAAGAGTCCGATACTAGGCCGGAACGGGCGTCCAGTGCTCCCAGGTTTCCAATAACTGATGTCAGTTCATGATGAATGCCAAGTAAGATCAACCAGTGAATGGAAACTGACTTCATATCAATTAATTCCTCATAAACCACTGACGCGGATAATAGTAATAGCAGAAGTAGAGTTAACTAAAGGAATGCCAAGCGCGACATTACTCAGGATTTAGAATGTTGATGCCAAATGTTTGGTATTTTAAGAATCATTAAGTTAAAACTGTATGGACTAATCACTTACTGGTAGAAAACAAAAGTAATAACGTGAAGAACTGAATTCTGTTCATAAAGCTTAGTATTGTTTTTATTCATCTAGGTGATTGGATATCGCAGTGCGTCTAACGTTTTGTGTTCGATAATTGTTAGAAATAAGAATTTTGCCCACAGTTGAAATTATCTGATATGAGTTGAGTGTCATACTATAGTCAGGTGAGGAACACCTATGTCAAGTAAGTAAATTTCCAGGATGTAAAGTGATATACTCCACCTCCTAATAGTTATACCTGAAAATATTGTATTGAATACTTATTTGGCAGGCTTTGACAACAAATGTTTGCAGCCCGCAAAACAAAACATATTATCCTGTTCTCTTTCAATCCAAATAAAAATCACTTTGCTGAACCAGATATAAGTGTTCAAACTAGCAAACTGTCTAGTCAATGCATTTGTTTCACCACAAGTTTAAATTAGTGCGAAATATCCAGAGATTTAAAGAAGCACTGCTTATTTCAGAAAACACAAGGTGAGCTTTTTGGTTTGAACAACACTTCATCGTTTCTAAATAGACTATTCTGTTAGACGAAATACCCCACAAGATAGGTTCGCTCTAAGTCTTTAAACGAGGATTACTGATATGCTGTAGACCTTTGTATAGAGTATGAAAGCAAGAACAGTAGTAGCAGAAATAGCATGCATGTATTTTGTGGATTCTCCTCAGCTTCTTTACCACTTTAGAACTTGATGTTTATGATGAATAGCATGTTATACGACATACTTTAATAAATTGACAAAATCTTATACGAAGTAAGATGGAAGGTAACAAAGAATTAGGGTGAATGACATTGATGAAGTTGTTAAGCCAAGTCAAAGGTGTACTAATTATACAGTGACAGAATGAATATTCGAGAAAAGATAGGAGTAAAAAATTTGTGTATATATGTGCATATAAATGAAAGGTTTTGCATGTTACTCTAGAATTAGTAAAACCAATGTCATGGTTAAGTAAACGTAGTAACAGATCAACAGGTAGAGTCATTATATTGAGTAACAAGATGATTACAACACAGAAAGTGAGAGTAGGCATCGAAATAGATGAAAAAACAAAGAGTCATGAGATCATTAAACTGTGTATTTACAATTTAGGAGATTCACATTATCAAGGTAATCTAAGATTGACAATAGTTCCTTTCTGAATACATAGATAAGCTTTGAGTCTTTTAATTGCAACTCTTCAGCAAAAACTGCAAATGAGTGGGTTTCCGTTGTTGATTGATCACTTTGAACGACCGGAACGAGTCGGGTTTATTTTCAGTATCAAGTAAGTGTCAAGCGATGGCACTATTTAGACTGTGGGGACCCTCAAGACTCAAATTCTTCGTGATATGGTCAGATATGTGGACAAGAACCTTTCTCTCTTTTCTTACAATACGTGTGTTTGCTACGTACATGTGAACTGGTAGTTAGAGCTTGAAGTAACAAGAGTTAGGAATTTGTCCACTTTGGACTATATCAGTGAGGATTTAATCTAATGCATACAGACTAACTAGGCTGCTACTACTACTGTTCTTCTTCGTTTATTCGAATTCGTGAAAGAGAATTCCACAGAGCAGTTAAATCGTTATTTTCAGATACAATATACCTTACTTTCTAAGGTAAACCATATTGTGGAACAAAAGTTTCCAGAAAGAACTTTAACAAACAATTGAGAGCAACCAGAATATTAGAAGAGTTGTCAAGATCTAGCCGTGAATCAACATTCTTATATCATGAGAGCAGCTCAATGCTCTTTGAACAGTGATGCTGAAACGTAGGTTGTGAGGTCATGGTTTGTAATAAAAGAGCACAGCGGAATTCACCGAACTGCAAAAGAAAGTGATGGGAAACCCCATAAATATATAATACTTTGGGATAAAACTGGATGCTGTGGCTTCTACCATGAAGAGAATCTCGGCGTCCAAATAGAGAAAATGCGACAACACAAAGCTTTTGCAAAAAGTGACTCATGAAATCATCTGACAGAGAAACCTAAGCAAAACAATCAGTAAAACTAATAGTATTGTTCATCTGAGAACAGTATTGATGTTAAGACACGTTTTACGGTACCAACAATCTAATGGAAACTCCAGGTATTATAATAACGAACCTCCTCAGAATTGTGGCATTACTGTCTACGTTCACAGTGAAAGTGATATCTAGTCGCATAACTTTACAGATGCCCTCAGACTTCGCCTAGATGGTTGCATAACGATTTTGAAAACTATCGCCAAACTTTCCTTGAAAGTGGCTACTGCGACATGATATGAAAGAACAAGTCACGCTTTGAAAACTGAGAAATATTTGCCAGAAGTTCGACCACTTAACTCATTGATTAGAATCTTATGGATTATGCCTGAAGTGTATTCGGTTTCAATTTTAACAGTACTATCTGCAATACAAAGGATCAGATGATCGATTAAATTAGAGAATCCGATGTTTCCTTAAAAGGCATAGTAAAGGATACAGACGCGGCATTGAGGCAGAGGTAGATAGATTTTGATGCAGTTACATTAGCTGACGGCTTTTTAATTCATTACAGTTATTATGCCGCTTGAATGTTTGTACAACAAACGCGTTTTTTGCTGACGAAATGACTTCGTTTCTCCTGAATAAAATTGTCAAATGTATCCCGAACACCCAGTTTACAATAAAAGAGTCACACTCCACTTCATTAAATGGTGGGGCATTTTAATAGTTTCCCAACGTACCAACGCAGTATACCATGCTCTTTATTTAGCCGGGGTATAAGGTAGAGGATAAATATAGCGGATAAATGACAATGCTACATTTAAAACAAGCAACACACGTAATTAAAGCAGGATTTATTGATTTCATAAATTTTAGTAGGATTCGCCAGCTTTTTACTTTACATACATGATTCTATATACTGTTGTGCAAGAAAGGAATGCATACACACAATACAGACTAACACACTAACTGGAGCATGGCAACACGGAGTGAATCATTTACTCATGTCAAACAGATCTAAGATTGGGTTGGGAGGGCGTAACGAATTGATAATGAGAAATAAAAAGACTAGGGATGGATCACATTATTCGAAACAGAACGATTAGTAGTCAACTAGATAGCTTGATAAGGGTGAAAACTAAGAGAACATAGGTATTAGCTAAACAAAAATATTGATTACAATAGTCATAATACGAGTGAGTTATAATAATGATAATAATAACAATGAGAATATGAATATTGAAAAGATTAAAAGTTATCATTTTGAAACAAGGTAAGTGAACATCAATCAAGAGGCTTGGTAACAGTGTAAAACTAAAGGAGGCTAGAGTAATAGTTGGAAGATAAAATTGATAATGACTATTTGACTATTAAGCAGAGAAGTTCAAGAGGATAACAGAATGATATTGAAGAGGTAAATATGCGAAGCATAGGAAGAAATAAAATGGGAAAACAAGACATCAATAGGAATAAAAATACTTCGACATCTCTATCATGGTTGAGGTGACTACCATCTCTTTCTGTACACATAGGTTCGATCTACGAACTCTAATCGCACATGCTTTTACGATTCCAAGCATTTTTTTATTCCGCTGTCTGCTGAAAACCAAGAAGACCATAGTGGTGTCAACGTCATGTCGATGAATGCTATATTTAGCACTCAACGAAATTTTGTTCGATACCGAATATAGAGATCGAATGTATATATACTAGTTAAAGATAGATTTAACTCCTTCATCTATTGCAAGTAGTCAAAGGGAGTTGTGACAGGGTGTTTCATCTGCTTACAACAGTATGTAACCACCGATTTGGAGTTCAATCAGTTTATACGATAAGTGAGGAGTAGCTGAAATAGTGGGAAAAGAAACAGAACTTTCCTTAATCAATTATTTTTAATAAATGAACTAAACAGAAGTCAATTAAAAACCGATTGATCATCAAAGAAACCTCTATTTGAAGAATAATACCATTTGAACAAATATCAATAAAACCAGTGATAAACTCTTCATGTAATGTACACATAATCATTAGAAATGTTCAAATGATACATGTGATATAATTTACGCTCTGAGTATGCTACATACAGGTAAAAAAAGATATTGATGACGATTATTAGAGAAAAGACCATTAGTCTTATTCATTGGATTGATAAAGTTGCTGATAAATCAACAATAGCCTTCGATAAACGTCTGGCATAATCAACTAAGTCAACTGGTTTTACATCTGCAACAACAACGCGTAGACGTTCTTCATCCTATCAACACATACAGATAAAGAAATAGAATTAAATTAACATAAAATTCGAAAGTTAACAAAAATGAAGTCCACAAAGTATTTATATGAGATGTGAACCTAACAACTTAGCTAGTAAGAAATCATGGTATTCGTAACAAGAAGTAAGGATTTTCTTCTTGCATGTAGTTGAACTCAAAAGTCCAGTAAAACAGAATCAGTGTCAGTCCTGCTGTAGAAGACAGAACGAAGCCACTTAACAGAACCGTAATGAATTTTAGGAAATTTATATATATATATATATATATATATATATATATATATATATATATATATATATATATATATATATATATATATATTTGTTTAACATCTAAATTAGCTTCATGTATCCACCTCAAAGTAAATTGAAAAATATCAGAAACTTTTCAGAATTATTTATTTTAGACACAAGAATGCTTTTCATAGGAACGCATTAAAAAGGTCTAAGATTTTGATCAACTTTTGAGAATGAGCATATATTCTCATTGTAACTATAAGTATGGATGTATAAGATCCAAAAATGATTGTCCGGAAAGAAAATGTCTTTCGCGGGATTCCCTTTTGTGAACTTCACGTGACCCAATAGGACCACTTCGATAATTAAAGCGAAATAAAAGATAGGCAGCAAAATAAATGTACAAGACAGTTTAGTCGTACACAACATTTCCCAAGTACTTCATAGGTACGATATGAATACAGAAATTGTTCTAGATTCTATACAAGTACGCCAAATGGCTGTTCTACCTGATTATTTGGTGAAAAGTTGGTTTTGGATCACTGTGCTTTATGTTCATCGCTAATATATTTAATGTTATGATTCGCTTATACCATTTATAGTTTTGTAGAGGAAGTGCGATCGACACTAAACTATCTTCACGGTTCTCAGTTATCCCATATGACTTCAATTTGCTAATATTACTGACTGTTTTAACCTTGGACTCCTTCCTACATGCTTTACACTGGCTTTCGCATAACATTACTGATATATTTGTCACTGTAGAGTATAAGAACGAAGTAACAGAAATAGCTTGCCTATAGATATCTTGTTCCGTACATTTAATGAGGTATTGCTGAATAAGGTAGACTTACGTTGTAACGGTCAACCTTAGCTCGCAAGCGAAATATCCAAGAGTTAAATGCTGCTTCAATGAATACTTTTTCTAATTGCCCCTCATCCTGTAAAATAAGCGAACATTAAGTTTTGTGAAATATAATAGTTGTAATATATGTGTAAAATCTACCAACAAAATCAGTGAATATGATTAAACACGTTGATCAGTCCCTGAACAACAACCAATTTCATAATGTCCAGAACAAAGTGCTGACCGAATGTGGCCAATCAATTTGCATTACTGCACCATCAAATACACTGGGTGACGCAGGTTCGAATTTCCGAAGGGATACCAGTTCCCTCAAAGTTGAAGATACACCTTTCAGAAGCGTGCCAAAAAGCACGAAACCAAGGTACAGCAGGTCTTCCTGCCGATTGCCGACCACATGACAAAATATACTAACTATGAAGTAATCAATACAAATTTACATCCACACAAGCAACCGGTTCCGAAATAAGCTGAGTGAAGCTAAAAGTACGCAGTGACACTATAACTATCAGTAACTACAACAAAAACAATGGTGAAACTCACTAACCACATACAAACTACTATCTTAGACTAGGAAATGTTTACGAAGATATACTTTATCTATGCGTAATCCCTGTTGTACCACATGCCCCAGAAGGAACACCAGTCCTCCCTCCATTGACTCTCTTCAGCCACAATTGATAATAATATAATCCGTCTCTGTCAACAACACTGAGTTGAAGTCGGTGGACACCATGTCAGATAATGTCTCTCATTACGTCTGAAGTTCGTGTTGACCAGAAATATATGCCTATCTGACCACAGATGTCACAGACTGTCACTGCTGTCTATTCACTCCACTGCAACTCCAAAAGTGTCACCTAGGCACTTCGCTCTCTTCTTCACAATACTCACTTGTGCATTGAAATCATTTGCTAAGACAAACACAACTGAACGTTGGCTTCCAGTAGAACAGAAGGCTGGACAGTTCTCTGAAGGACTCGAATTTCACTCCAACACAATTTCAATCAGTTGACGCGTCCCTGGAGATTATGGAGAGAAAATGGCGAGTTCTACTCCTCTTCTTAGTCATCACTCGACTGTTCTCTTCAAGCTCAACCGTGATACAAATCTCTTTCTCAGAGTCATAATACAGAAAGCAGTTATCGTCATAGTGTGGATTACCACATTATGATTGGGGTCAGTCAAGGCGCCGAAGTAATACTAGTGACTGGGACAAGGTGTGAGTGACAGCAGTAAGATGTTTCCCATCAATGGCCATCAGTAGCATACTGATGCTTCCCTCCTCAAGCGAGATGGAATTAGAAAAAGTCAAACATGAAAGTACCGAAATCCTCATAACATCCAGTCTCCCTGTGCTATCTTCAAGCAGATCTCCCTCAACCTCCATTAATAATACACCTTAATCTTCAGGTGCCTACCTCTCAAAAAAGTAACCTTACATGGATTAGGCACCAGAAAAGTCTCAACCACCTTAACAACTCTGTCACCACTCAATTCCCACCCCCCACCCCCCCCCACACACACCTCCCTCACATCACTACAACCTCCCGACACGTCAACTCATCATACAGTTAGGACATACAACACCTGTGAATTTCAGCCTCTCCGATATCAACACGTTCGACAACTCTCCATTCTCGACCACTCATCTCCGTATAGAACTCCTAGTATCCAGTGGAAACAACAGGAAAGTCATTCTGAGCTGAGGCACAGTGTTCCCAGTGCGGTGGAGATCGTCAGTCATTCAATCTCACCGTCATCAAATATCGAACTCATTGACTTCTATATATCTTACACATATCATCTCAGTACCTGTCACATAAATCACTGTTCGATCACCCTACGGTTGGGTCGACAAAGTCAACAAGTCACGAGCTGATGACAGCACCGTGGCATGGAGGATGCTGGTCTTGCGTAAGCATCTCTACGTGACTCATAGCTGCCTAGATGCCGTTCGACAGACTATGCAATTCAATGGAGATCATGATACAGTTTTCTTCTTAATTCAATTACTTAAGAGAGAAGGGAAGGTAATGAATGCTTTTTCGGATGTCTTAGAGGCCGCTTGTTTAACAATCCACTTCCGTTTTTGTTTTCATTCCCTCTTGTTTCTTAGGTCCCCGTAATATTGCTACATGGATTTGTAAAATGCATCCCTTTTCGAGTATGTTTTACCAAGTATGTGTTCCAAAAGAGATGCTTGTCGAGTTCTGCCTTGAATCCAGTGAACAAAATCTGAAGTTAAACATTTGTCAAGTGTAGATAAAATACGAATCTAATAAAATCACTATTTTCGTTAAAATACTTCAACGCATAGAAGTGCCAGATAAGGATTTTATTTTTATCAACTCCCACCCCAAATAATAAGTAAACCTTATAACCTGTAACATCATCCATGTTTCAGTACCTGATTATTTACCGCAGCATGGCCTTAAAAGCCTACTGAAATCAATGCAAATATAGCTATCAATTCTAGAAGAAAAACCGCATAAATAAAGTGTGTAAATCTATTGATAAAACTTTTCAGACTAAGTATTCTTAGAAAATAGCTTAGTCTCATCATGAAAAAATAGACTCACTTGTGTTGATTTCATTGTGCCCAACTTATCAGCTGTCTGACCAAGCAGAGCTTCTGCAGAATCTTGGAAACAAGTAACCCATAAATCTCCTGTGACATCAGCTATTTTAACCTACAAACAAACATCAAAAATGTTGTCTTAATATGTGCAACGATTAAAATTCAATTAGGTAAACCAGAATTCCATCAAGACTATGTTACATGAAATGCATTACGATATAATTTGCATGTACCGTAACGACAGAATGATATATATAAGGAAAGTCTGCTTGAAAACAGCCCAAGTTATCTTACAAAGCTTATTCTAAATCTGCAAAAGACTAGAGTGGAATTTGATCACTGGACGATAAATAAAATTAGCTAAAAAACAAGGTTTCATAGTCCAATAACTTTATTTCATAGACTGATGTTTTCGATGTGTTCATGAATGAGCTGGATGTAATTATATATTTGATAGTAAGCTCCGTCTGTTGAAGTAATTTTACTGGAATTTTCATCACTCATCAACACAAGCCACCAAGAAGTTAGTGTTGAACTGAAAAATGTGAACAGAATTTACTCTTGACATCACTAAAATAACTTACGCCGATTAGTGATTCATTTGTTTGTGTTGTTTTGACCACTACATTCGGAAGTTCAGTAGTAAACTTGAAGCATAAAATCAGCGTCTTCTAATTTAATATACTTGAAAAGGTAGAAGCAGCGTCCATATGAATACTTCACCATCCACATACGCAATTACTATATCCGATAGTATAAGTGATTCCACCACTCGTGCCACACCGCTAGATAACTTCTCAAGATAAAACAGATGCCCTTGACTTCGTCGACACTCATAGAATCTCCCTAGTAAGATTAAACTTTATAAGTCGTTATATATCACCTATTGGGATTCAAATGATATATATACGTGATCACTACACGCAGAGAAGTGGTGCTAAGTAATTCCAGTTTCTGTCCACTGTGTTTTTAACCATTCTACTGGCAACGGATAAATGGTAGAACTGATCAGTATGTGATTGAATTCGGGGGAAATTTGAATTTGAGATTGAAATACTACTAAACTGAAAGAAATTCTTACATCTAGGGATGAATCCAGTAAATGAAAAGTGTAGTTTTTATTTATAACACAGACGATATCACTAAATGACTCTAGATATTTAATTAACCTTGGTGCTGATCAAATAGAAGTACTTTTGAAGGAAGCATTCATCATAAACTGAATTCAGCTGGAGAACCATTGAAAACCTGGGAGCACTAAATAGCTGTTTCGCCCTAGTACGGGACTCCTCAGCAGTATGTGACCATGACCTCACCGAGATCTTTAGGTTTCCCGGAGAACGCGTTAACCATCCAGCCACTGGGTTAGAATTCAATGGTCCATAGTTCCCTACTTTTGACTGGTAATTTGAAATCCCCTCAGGAGCCTTGTACATAGTCGAGCGGTGGGCAATGAGTCACACCTATTTAGTGTGAGCCCTAGTAATACTTCCTGGCTGCCCAAACTTTGGTAAGCAGAGCGGTGTTCGGATCCACAGCCCACTGGTTGGAAGTTAACTTTCTAAGCCAACGAGCCGCACCTCCACTGACTGATGATTACTGACAATACAGTGATCACATCTAAATTAGAATTTTTCTCAAAACCTAGACAAGGGTAGATGCAAGATGATGAGATGAAAGAATAGGCAGAACTAGAACTTTGCTTTCTTAAATTTCAAGAAAAAAAGGATTGCTGCATTGAGGTATTCACTCTTCAGCCACACCATTTGATGTATCCAGCTACTGTTTTTCTCGATTTAATAAATCGGTTGGTACTTTTGCATCCATCTAAAGCAACTACTCAATTAGTTCTCAGGTTTCTATCATATCTTAGACTGCAATTTCTGGGATCTTCATTACAGAAACCATTATATTTGTATAAGTACCTACCAGAAGCGAACAACAGGTATACAACGAATCACCTAAATTACTTTCGCACATATCTTCATCATGTTTAGAAAGAATTAAACATTCACTACTTAAAGTCTTGTCACTTGCAGATATTTGTAGTGGAAAACCTTATGACAAGTAGATGGCGTGTTTTATCTATAAATAAACAATTTCTAACCTAGGTCGAGTATATATCGTCGTTCAGTGATGACTATTATTGGTCACTAAATTACCCTACTTCGTCTGCTAAAACTAGGCAATTCAATACCTATATTAACTGCTTGGTTCAATACACACTTAAACCCCATATTCACTACAGCCAAAATGATAGGTCTTGACGAGTATTCATTAGATTTGAAACTGTGTATGTTGAAAATTTCATAAATTTTCACAGCATTACGCAAGCTTGCTGTTACGAAGGCAGTGTGATATTCAAGATGTGACAACAGTCAATAACATGTTGATAAGGTTTTATTAGACTATTATGGTGAAGTAATTCTTGGAATTATACGTAACTGTGCATCATTCGGTTTCATAAAAACGAAAGTATGAGTTTGTCGACGAAACTTGTGACATCTCTAGACGCACTTCTCGACAAGAATTTAAACAAACAGAGAAAAGAATTAGACTAATCTAACTAGAAGTCGAATCGTAAATAAAACTATTAGAAAATAATGAAAGCATAACCACGACAAACTGTACAACCGACAAATGAGAACACTTCGGTATGATTAACCGTGCAAAACTTACCATTAGGAGTAGGCGCCATTTATAATCCGGTGTCTCCCGAGCGCATTTTTCACACCGATACAAGCCATTGCCTAAGTCCACCACCTTCTTATTACATCCTTCAGTAAAGCATGCTTGATACATAAAGTTCTCTTTCTTCATGAAGACAACAGTAGCCTAAAAGTTATATACACCATAAATAAACTAAAAATGTCAATATGTTGATGAAGTATGGAAATAAAATCGGTTGTCAAAATGTATGAAAACCAAGTGTAGGTAAGAACTGCTTAAAATCAAAATACACTATCCGATCGACAGGTTAATACCAGATCCAGTAGTTGAAAACCACTTGTTATATTTTTTGATAGCAATGAGTTGAACTAATTGTTCGACCTCACAGTATCATCAGATTTTAAAGCCCAGTACTTATTCTTTATTTCATTAGAATATTCCAAAATCTATTACAATTTCAAGGCTTTTGCAGCTGATTAAAAACCATGAAATCATTTTGTGTTGAGATTTTATAGTTTTCATTTCGTTGTTTAGATTTATCAAACGGAATAAATATATAGTGCGGTAGAGTTTGGTTATTTCAAAGTTAACTTTTGACCCATCTATGCAAGTCTATTACACAATGATTTATACTCGCATACGGTAAGAATATAGAGTAAAATTACCTTGCAAGTGAAATAATCTGCCTTTACATTTGCTCCTACACCCGATGCTTTAACGTCTTGTAACAGATTCCAACCACCTAAAACACCAGGTGGACCAGATGATCCATCTCCTCCAGCTGCAGATCCAATCATTTCACTTCGGAAGGTTTCAAAGTTAGAATAGCGTCCTTCATGTTCATACCAGCCTTTCAGACGTATAGCTTCTGGGATATTAGTAGGAGTAACAAGGATAGATGATGTTGGACCTACAGAAAGAGATCGACCTAAAAGCAAACGAGAGTGGAATAATTATATGGGAAAATATAGCATGAAACCTACAAGATTAATTCTTCATAGGAGTATTACGGCGGCAAGTATACTATACAAATAAGTCCAGCCAACTTTAGATTGATATCAAGTTTTTGCATACAAATATTTACAATGTATATGATCAAACTTATGTAAGTAGATCGATTCAGGTTTTTGTAATACTTCCCAAATATATTCAGTGATTATATGCTATGAAAAATGTGAAATAGTGACATACTTATTTTCACTAAGAAGTCCAGAGATGCCTCAGAGCTGCACTGATTTTAATACATTACGTGTAACATTCCATTCAAACCGAGCTACAACCTCCAAATTAGGATCGATGAACGAATTTCGAACTCACCCGGAAAAACCAAAAACGAAAGATAAGTTTCTGTTCGACAAGGTGATGTCATCGAAATTACCAACAGTTACGACTGTTTACTGTTTTCATGTAACTCTCAGTCACAATGTGAAAGATTATCATACTACGTGGGTGTTAAAGCAGCAATAAAAAAGCGACGTTCGAACCTGTGACATTGACTGGAAGTTAATTAGTTACTAAGCCACTGAGACACAGTGTCACATTCAAATATCACTGTCGACAGCTTTTTTTTTTAATTCTGTCTCCCTAGTACGTCAGATTAAAACCAAATCTACTTAGGAGCGTCAGTTATTCGTTAAATACCAAACTGAAAGTTTCATAGGTCTTCTTACTGATTTTTTCAAAAATCAATTTCAGTTGAAAAGTTATCTGGTGTTAAGTAGTATTTCAATAGGATAGTGGAAGTCAGAGTGGAAAACTCCAGTAGAATATATCAAATATTTATATACAAGTTAAACGGTCGAAGCAATGATATAACTACCTTATAGTAATTAGAGTTATAATTCGATAATCAAAAAGAAATGGAGAATATACCATTAAAGTCGGATATTTTCGCTGCTTTCACAACAATGACAGGATGATTGGTGCCATCGAAATTTTCAGCTTCTTCACCCCATAATGTAAGACGCACCAAACAATTGGAACTATCCACTATTCCCAATTCTCGTTTACGTAATTCCCGTTGAGAAGCTTTGGCTGTGATCGTTTGCACTTCCCCACATTCATGTACAACTCCAACAACATCTAATATTGAGTTATATAAATGAAAATAATTTACACAAATAACACACTATATGGGAATATAATAAGTTGAAGAAATGAGCAGAATAATGTAAGAAGAGAATTATACGAAACTGGATATATGTTATAAAACTTAAGAAAACCGCAGGTGATAAACGTCATCTTCATCTGTTGCCGAACACACACTATAAACTAGCCATGAACAGTTTTTAAAGTATGACATGAAAGTAATCAGGGCCGAGCACTCAAATTTATTCAAGCTCTGACCATCCGTAAATTCAAACCCCTTTTATGTATACACATTGAACCTACTTTGGCAGTATTGATACTAATTTGTATACCAATAAACATGTGATTCAGATTTTGTTTTTGTTCCTTATTAAACTACATTGTAAATTTTCACTGAAATAGTTCGACAAGTTCATTTACGATTATATTGCTCGAATTGTAGAGCGCTAATACATTACGTCTCAGATAATCTTCGTTTTCTCATTATGGAGCTTAAAATTATCAAACATTTTCTGCATGAAGTGACATATATTACTGTGGCCAAATGTTCTCAATCTTAATGACTAATCGAATTAACTCATAATGTACTCCTGATGTAAAAATGACCAGTAGTAGCACATAGAATAAGGGCTTGAGACATCCGTAAGTGTTTATTCTTGATGCATTATTTTGATTTTTAGTATATCTATGAACCATTTCAGCGGTGAAAAAAAAAGAGAATAAGCCGTATTTCTGTATGAGAGGACCAAGTTTTTCTTACCACCAACAGTCACCACATCGCTCTCCACAAAACACGAAAGAGCTGTATTCCCAGATACAGTTACCATTTTTTCTCAAGCAGATGCAATTTAAAAGGCGCCTTCTCAGATGAGAAATCGAAGATTATTGAACAACGCTTTTAAACAGACAGCAAAAAGTACGAAGACACAACATTACTGGATTCAACTCTCCTAATTTACTGCTGAAACCACCAGCTATTGTATACCTGTTCATTTGATTCTTTGTGACAAGTTTCACAGGTTTCGATGCAACCTGTTTAAAATTTTTCGGACCATGGTAAGCGAGTATGTAAATAGGGCTTCAAACACACATGTGTTAACTTCTTTCTTGTTCTCGTTTACCATATAGGATGATGCCTTTGTTTACCCTTTTGTTTTTATTTTCATACTACTTAATATTCTAAAGTAGTATAGTCTGTCTCATAGTGTTGCTTCATCCACAGCCTTGACTGATCATTTTGTTCAGTCGTATCTTTCGCAGTTAGTGGCGGTGTTGTAATTTCTTCCGTTGCTCCCTGATGTTCTGTTTTATCTTGAACACTTGTTTATCTTGCGCCTTTACCTCACTGTGAGAACTTACGCGCGACTGTTATATTCCCATCTGACTGCTTGGAGACAACTTTGCTGTTTTTACAGTTGACGCACTCTTCGTAAGTGCCTTGATAGCGATAAACCAACAGATATCTCGCGATTGAGGTTTATATTTTATTACTCAATACTGTTGATTAATAACCTCGCCTGGTTAACTAGTTTACTAGTTACTAGCCGGTCCTAAGCCCGGGTAAAGAGGGAAGGTTGGGCATAGGGCTAGCAACCCTACCCCGTAAAACAAATCTAACCGCTAAAGAAACTTCAAAGCACAAACAAAATATAAAAAATGAAAACAAACTTATTCCCCGCTGGAATCGGAGAGGCGAAATGACGCCAGTTGGTGAAAGCCTTCGGGAAGCCAATTGGCCGATGTGTCTTCTCTCGATGAAAGCGAAAGTAAACGTGGGGACATGGAATGTCCGCACGATGTTTGAACCCAGTAAGGCAGCCCAGATTGCAAAGGAGATGAGAAGGTATAACATCGAAGTGCTTGGGATTTGCGAGAGCAGATGGAATGGGAGTGGACTCTCCAAACTGTCAACTGGAGAATCAATAATCTACTCTGGTCACCCAGACGCCAACCACGAGCACACTGAGGGAGTGGCTATCATGATGTCCTCAAGAGCATCGAAGGCTCTCATGCAGTGGGAACCAATCTCCTCCAGGATCATGACAGCAAGATTCAACTCAAAAGGAAGAAAGGTCACAATCATACAATGTTATGCACCTACAAATAATGCAGAGCAAGAGAAAAAGGAGGAATTCTACAGACAACTTCAGTCAACACTGGACAAGACGTCAGTTGGCGATATCAAAATTCTAATGGGCGACATGAATGCCAAACTGGGAGGGGACAACACGGGAAGAGAACTAACCATGGGTCGAGAGGCGCTAGGTGAAATGAATGAGAATGGAGAATTGTTTGCAGAATTCTGCGCATTCAACGATTTGGTGATTGGAGGCAGTGTGTTCAGGCACAAGGATATTCACAAAGCGACATGGACTTCACCAGATGGACACACTAAAAATCAAATCGACTTTATCTCAATCTCAAGAAAATGGAGACGCAGTCTACTTAACACAAGGTCAAGAAGAGGAGCAGATGTAGGTTCAGACCACTATCTAGTGCAAGGAACCTTCCAAATCAAGTTAAAAGCCTTCAAGGAAGCTGGTGATAGACCTCAATTCAAGTACAACACTCGGAAACTGAAGGATGAAACTACAAAGGAGATCTTCAAAGCAGCCATCAAGACAAAATGGGAGACGTCGAGGGACATCCCTGAAGAAACCTGTGTAGAAGAACACTGGAAGTCTTTGAAAGCTATGTGGAAAGAAACCTGCACAACAGTATTAGGAAGGAAGAAGGGAAGACAAGGAATGGATCTCGACGGATACCTGGAAGCTGATAGAGGAGAGGAGGATGGTGAAGCAGAAGATAAACCAGTGCAAGGATGCTCAACGACAAGAGGAACTGAGCACAATGTATAAAACACTGGATAAAGAAGTGAAGAAGAGTGCACGCAAAGACAAAAGACACTTCTACGACACACTGGCAAGTGAAGCAGAACAGGCTGCAGGTAAGAGAGACCTGACGACATTGTATCAAATAACCAGGTTGCTATCAGGGAAGAGACCAACACAGATGAAACCAATAAAAGATGAAGAAGGAAATTTAATTACAAAAGAAGAGAAACAGAGGAAACGATGGGCCGACCACTTCAAGAAGCTCTTGAATCGACCACCACCTGCACTTCGTCCAGAAATACCACCTGCAGCCGCTGAATTACAAGTGAACATAAATCCCCCAACGAAAATGGAAGTCCTGAACGCCATAAAGCTACTGAAATGCGGGAAAGCAGCAGGACCAGATGGAATACCGCCAGAAGCACTGAGAACAGATGCAGAGACAACAGCGGACATGCTCACACCACTATTGCAGAAGGTGTGGAGGGAAGAGAAGGTACCTGTCGATTGGAAGAAGGGTTACCTTGTCAAACTGCCGAAGAAGGGAGACCTCAGTGCTTGCAAGAACTGGCGAGGAATCACTCTCCTATCCACCCCAAGTAAAATATTAAGCCGCATCATCCTGGAGAGGCTTAAAGACGCACTGGATTCAAAACTGCGACCGGAACAGGCAGGCTTCAGGAAGTACAAATCATGTGCTGACCAAATTGCAACGCTTCGTATCATCATAGAACAGAGCGTAGAATGGCAATCAGCTCTATACCTCAACTTCATCGACTTTGAGAAGGCCTTTGACAGCGTCGACCGAGAAGTAATTTGGAAACTGCTTCAATACTACGGAGTACCGCAAACCTTTATCCGCCTCATTCAACAACTATATGAAGATGCCACATGCCAAGTAATCCACAATGGGAAGCTCAGTGATGCCTTTGAAGTGAAGACAGGAGTGAAACAAGGTTGCCTACTATCCCCCATGATATTCCTTATTGTGGTGGACTGGATCATGCAGCAAACAGTAGGCAGCGAGAAGAGGGGGATACACTGGACGACGGAAAAGAACCTAGAAGACTTGGATTTCGCCGATGACTTATGCCTAATGTCACATAAACTTGAAGATCTGCAGGCAAAAACTAACAAGTTGACAGAAGAGGCAGCTAAGACGGGACTTCAGGTGAATATAGAGAAGACAGAAGTGATGAAGATACCGCACCACCAACATCAACAACAACAACAAACTCCAATCACCGTCAACGGGAGAAACTTGAAGGAAGTAACCTCCTTCACTTATCTAGGAAGCACTGTTTCAACTACAGGCGGGACGGACGAGGACGTCAAAGTCAGAATCGGAAAAGCAAGACAGGCGTTCATTAGCCTGAAACCAGTGTGGGGATCTTCTGCACTCAGCATGTGGAACAAGATACGGATTTTCAACACCAACGTCAAGTCAGTGCTCTTGTATGGCTCAGAGACTTGGCGCGTCACGAAAGGCATTTCCAATAAACTACAGACATTCATCAACAACTGCTTACGCTCGCTGCTGAAGATCAGATGGCCAGAAAAAATAAGCAACAAGGAACTCTGGGAACGAACCAACCAAGAACCTATCACGCAACAAATATGCAGGAAGAAGTGGAGATGGATTGGCCATGCACTGAGAAGGCCGACTGAGGACATCACGCGTCAGGCCCTCGAGTGGAATCCCCATGGGAAGCGACGAGTTGGACGTCCGAGGGTGACATGGAGGAGGTCATGCGAGGAGGAAATGAGAGGTTGTGGGCTGTCGTGGAACCAGGTTCAAAAGATCTCGGAGAACAGAGGTCACTGGAGGCGTGCTACTGAAGCCCTATGTTCCACTAGGAACCCAAGGGACTAATAATAATAAAAAAAACTGTTGATTAATATAGAACCGTAATTCAGACAAATCCTGTGTTTTGGATTTTACGTATAACTCGAGAGTTTGGTTTACTGTTGGGAAGTCACTTGTTCCCTTTGATTCTAAATTTCTTAGAGAGAAACTCACCACATGATTATGCCGATTTTTCGAAGTCCTTGGCAAATGGATAGTTAAACAACCCACAAGCAAATGCTGCTTGTGATTTAGTCGGTATTTCTTCATCTTCATGCACAATGTTGCCTGCACACGAGAACCCATAGGTAATTAATGTTTCCTACAGACATGTGGAATGCAATACACAAACTTATCATATTACCCAGTAATCTGCCTAATTAGATCCATTGGCCAATCTAGCATTGGTTGTAGTCCATGAATACTCTTACGGAAGTTTGGATTATGTACAGTAGCAAATTATGCGGTTGTGGAAGCGTTAATTGGGATAATTCTAGTAACGGATAACAAAACAATACAAACGATTTATAAATGGAAGAGTTAGACATTTAGATTCAGTTTCTCTCTCAGCTGGAGTGCTGTTTAATGATTACCAAAAGCCACTATGCTACTAAAAACTACGAATGGTTCGTGGCTGCTAATAAAGTTCTTATCAGAAAACGTAGGTTATTACAAACCACTTACATCAAGTAGAAATGAAGCGAAAATGATAAGACTTACCCACAAAAGTCCCAGGAGAATTTGTATCCAATTTTCCTATTGGAACGAAATTGAAATGAGTTTCTGGCAAAGAACTTGTGTCCGCATCTTCACAAAGAAGGACTTGACTGTCAGCATGAAGTGTCATTTCATAGTCATTGTTAGTTGTGTTAAACTGTTTATTGGCGGCCTTTAGATTCGCTCGACTAACGTAGTACACCTTGTTCATCTAAAAAAAGGTAGCGAGATTAAAAATAGAAGATAGAGCAAAAAGTGAACGACCTTCAAAAGTAGTAAAAAAAACTACCAATAATTCCCACAAAAAGTCGACGGTTAGTCAGAGGCTTAGATTGATCAGGAGAATTCATATTACACTAGGTTACACAATACTAGAGAATAGGAGATTGTGGAATCAAAAATCTCATTACACCAGTCCTCCCTCCATTGACTCTCTTCAGCCACAATTGATAATAATATAATCCGTCTCTGTCCACAACACTGAGTTGAAGTCGGTGGACAACATGTCAGATAATGTCTCTCATTATGTCTGGAGTTCGTGTTGACCAGAAATATATGCCTATCTGACCACAGATGTCACAGACTATCACTGCTGTCTATTCACTCCACTGCAACTCCAAAAGTGTCACCTAGGCACTTCGCTCTCTTCTTCACAATACTCACTTGTGCATTGAAATCATTTGCTAAGACAAACACAACTGAACGTTGGCTTCCAGTAGAACAGAAGGCTGGACAGTTCTCTGAAGGACTCGAATTTCACTCCAACACAATTTCAATCAGTTGACGCGTCCCTGGAGATTATGGAGAGAAAATGGCGAGTTCTACTCCTCTTCTTAGTCATCACTCGACTGTTCTCTTCAAGCTCAACCGTGATACAAATCTCTTTCTCAGAGTCATAACACAGAAAGCAGTTGTCGTTATAGTGTGGATTACCACATTATGATTGGGGTCAGTCAAGGCGCCGAAGTAATACTAGTGACTGGGACAAGGTGTGAGTGACAGCAGTAAGATGTTTCCCATCAATGGCCATCAGTAGCATACTGATGCTTCCCTTCTCAAGCGAGATGGAATTAGAAAAAGTCAACCATGAAAGTATCGAAATCCTCATAACATCCAGCCCCCCTGTGCCATCTTCAAGTAGATGTCCCTCAACCTCCATTAATAATACACCTTAATCTTCAGGTGCCTACCTCTCAAAAAAGTAACCTTACATGGATTAGGCACCAGAAAAGTCTCAACCACCTTAACAACTCTGTCACCACTCAATTCCCACCCCCCACCCCCCCCCACACACACCTCCCTCACATCACTACAACCTCCCGACACGTCAACTCATCATACAGTTAGGACATACAACACCTGTGAATTTCAGCCTCTCCGATATCAACACGTTCGACAACTCTCCATTCTCGACCACTCATCTCCGTATAGAACTCCTAGTATCCAGTGGAAACAACAGGAAAGTCATTCTGAGCTGAGGCACAGTGTTCCCAGTGCGGTGGAGATCGTCAGTCATTCAATCTCACCGTCATCAAATATCGAACTCATTGACTTCTATATATCTTACACATATCATCTCAGTACCTGTCACATAAATCACTGTTCGATCACCCTACGGTTGGGTCGACAAAGTCAACAGGTCGCGAGCTGATGACATAGCACCGTGGCATGGAGGATGCTGGTCTTGCGTAAGCATCTCTACGTGACTCATAGCTGCCTAGATGCCGTTCGACAGACTGCGCAACTCAGTGGCTTCAGACAATGGTACATATGGTTCACGATTGGAACCAATGGATGAACGAAGGTAATAAATACTTTTTCGGATGTATCTTAGAGACTGTTTCTTAACTAGTCCACTTCTGTTTTCGTTTTCAACTCCTCTTTCATTATTTGTGCTTTATGCATTTGTAAAGCACATCTCTTTGTGCACATGTTGTATGAAGTGTTATGGTGATGATAATAATAATCATAAATGGTAGTGACATAATGCTTTCAACGGTAGCAGAGGTTGCGAAGCATTATTAGCTAGATTATCATGTGTTTCCTGCTGTCTGGTAATCAGGCATGACCCCCCCCCCTTAGACTGATCTTAATCGCTGATAAATTCAGACGTTATTAAAAAGCTAAAAATCTCCTTAAAGTATGCTTGATCACCATTCCCCTAAAATTCTCAGTTAAGTAACAATCAGATGTCGAAATGAGGCTCGAGAATAGCAAATCTAAGAAAACCAGATAGGTTCCAGCTCGCCTCGGGGGTAGCTGACCAGATCTTCACCTTTCACCTCTTCCAATAGATGTGGAAAGTATGGAAAGGCTTCAGGTGTCCGACCAACGTAACCTTCATAGCATAAGGCTTGTTGAGGAACCGCCATGTCCGCAGCCCAAACGTGATGTGTAGTCTTAAGTTCACAAGGCGAACCAGTTGATGTTTCAAACCTTCGTATATTCAGACAGTTAGAGCACTAGTCATGTTGAATTTCCGATTGCAGTCTGCATAACAATCAATATCAGTGTTTGGAAACTCAAGTTAGTGACTGAGAATCGATCTGAGTGGCGAAGATACATCCAAACATAGCTTTCATCCTACTCGTCGAATTATATTTCGTTATTTGCTTAACTGTCTTTTTCGCAACTTTCCAAGATTTTCGAATACATTCTCTACTATTTCCCTCTCTTTCATCTTGAGAAGCTGTACCTCGACGCTATGTATACAAAATTAGACCACAGCGTCTACATGTCAGGTCACCTATCGACTAAGTGGTATAAAACTTTGGCTACGACAAAATGAATAGCGTGTAAATATTTAATCAGAGTAAAACTTGGGTACTGTGTTGCGATGTATATCTATTTAAGTTGATCCATTAGATGCATCACACAATGAAACAGTATTATTCATTGGATTACGTTTTAGACGCAATTTATTGTTCATCATCATATGACGACGGACAATAAATTGTAATCCTTATTTAAGCTGACAAATGTCTCCTACTGTAGACAGCAAAGTCTTTTTCATTTTATTATATACGAATGTTAATAGTGCGCTTACAAATTGGAAAGCGAATGTAGTTCGCATACTTAAGTTCGAGAAGTCTTCCTGGGATAACGGTTCACACCCATTCTACCAACCGTGACTACAATAACCAAGTATCAATCGTTAATGGAATTTTAACAACTTAGGCTTCATGAGAGATATGTAGCTTACTGGTCTAAACAGTTAACTTTCAATCGATGGATCAAAGCTTCGAATTGTTCTGCACTCACAAAGATTTCGGCAGTCAGGTACTGTCGTCACTCTGCACTTAACAGATGTATCTACATGTCTAGCGAAAGAAATTCCACGTGGTTATTAAAATAATCTGGCTTTATTTGGTGAGTAGTACGATATAAGGTCAGAAACTATCAGTTTTGCAATCTTTCGTGCCAAATGGTCAGAAACGAACTTATTGTTATCAGACCAAATAACTCAATTTGTGGAAATACTCGACTACCTGTTTGATAATTTATAATGAAAGCAACTATTCAACGTAGAGAATGGGAATCAAAGCAGCATAATCTACTTTTTGATAAAATAAGAATCACTAAGATAATGAATCAGCTCATTAGGAATATAGACAGAAATTCATTTTAAATAACCTGTTTTTTTCTTACCTGAATCAAGTCATGAAACTTGTCTACTTCGGCGTTAAATGCAGTTACACGGATTTCACCACTTTCATCAACCAACGTAAAATTAAAAAGTTTCCCATCACGACCTTGTTTGCTCCACGTTCGGATGGTTGATTTTTGTGATACACGAGCACGTATAGTCCATCTATTTTGGTACGGATTAAGGCTTTGTATGGGAAATACACGGGGTAGTCCAGAGCCCGGTGTCCCTGGAGTACTCGGTTGACCCCAGAGAAAGGACCAGTAGAAGGCTTCGGAGGTGTTTTCTGCTCCGGTTCAAAAGAACGTGCTGGGGCGGATACTGGTTTGGGTATCGCCGTTGTTTGCTCGGACTTCAAATCACCTTTTATACAAAAGTTAAATCATCCTAAACATTCAACTGAAACTATGAAGTTTTAAAAACTACTGACTAGCTATGTCATTATGGATACTTACTACTTGGAAGAGCAGTGGCTCGAGAAATAATCCCAAACATGGAAAAGTATATTTTTTAGCATTAACATATTCTTTTTCAAAACCATTAACTATCAGTTCCGATTCTGGCGGATGGTAACTTGCGATCGATAGGGTGTACCAAGCGGGAGATTAGCGAGACAAGGGAACAGAACAGTCGGTCAGGTGAATAAACGTTTTTCAAGATCTGAAAATAGTTCACCTAAGTATTAATTAAGATTGCTACTTATTGCCTGTACATCACAATACAATCGTTTCATTTTCGGTTCAAAATAGTGAAAATCAAACATTTTTGTCGAGTAATATTAGTAATTTGGGGTAACAATTTTGTAATATATTTGCGATGGCTACCTGTACTAGATTTGGTGAATATTAATGCGTAAGGGTTTGGCACTGCTACAATACAAAACCACCCAGCACAGGTTTATGTACTACTCGGCTAAAATTTATATAGTTTGAGAATTTATAGAACTACACTAATGATCAGGTCAGAGTAGGATGAGTGGAGCATGGACTCGAGGCTTAATCCATGAAAACCCGGTGTCTCCGTAAGTGGGAATAAAAACGCTGACAATTAAAGAATACACGTAGTAAGGATCCACAGACTGAACAAACTAAGGGTATTTTCCTCTACCTCAAAACTCTTGATTGGATAATACACTCTAATAATAGTGTTTCCTGTGAACTAATGCTCAGTAGAATAGGAAATGTTTGACTACAAGCAAGTGTTTAGCGTGCTATGCGACCATTTCGGTTTGTGCTGATTTAAAATTACTTCCGTTCGACTTTTATCGCTGGTATATGTTGCTAGTAATACAGTAGAACAGTGCGGACTCCAGCACAGTACACTCGACCCTTATTGGGCGAGCCCTAATCGTAGGGGCGCCACAGGTGGCGTATGTTTGGGAAACCCAACCGACCCTTTTGTATGCGTGCAGAGATTTCGTCAGCCACCAGGGCGGATGACCTCCCAGGTGAGCGAAGCGTTCAACCACTTCACTCCCTACTGTTAACCGGGGTATCGCTGAAGACAATTCCTGGAGCAACAATTTGCATTTGGGTAGCGAGAAACGCATCCGAAACATTCTCAAATTGTCACTCAACATGTCCGGAAGGCTGAGCATCTTGTCAGCGTCCTCACCTAACAGGTCTATGTCATCTGCGAATTCCATGTTCACCAAAACTTCTCCTGTGATTAGGTCAATCCCTGTGAAGTCAGATGTCGAGAGGGAGACTTCCATAAGAACATCCATGATAGTGATTAAGGATGGAGACAGTAGTATCCTTGACCGACCATTCGACGCAAAAAACTTATCCGATATCCTACCATAGACTATAACATGTTCACAGGTGTTCGGGTAAAGAGCCTTCAACTGGGTGGTGCACTTACTCGGTACCCCTTTCAATGAGACACTGGCGTAATACTTATCGATCGATCGATTCGAATGCCGCCGTCGAGAAATACAGCTATTGTCGGGCGTCGGTAAGCATCCCAGTATTCAAGAACCTGGCAGAGTGTGAATATTTGGTCGACATACTCACGATCAGGTCGAAAGCTTGCCTAATTTTCTCGGGCTTGATATTCCCGAGCTTTGCTTCTGCGTCCAATAATTATAGAACCTAGAATATTAGACACTTTGTTGAGCTGATTCCCCTGTGGTTATTACAAGAGGAATTCTCACTTTTCTCGAAGAATGTGATAATCAGTGAGTGATACACATTAAAGGGGAGCATGTTTAACTCTCATACAGTGGCTAACACTTCAGTTAACTTGACTAAAAATACTCTATCATCGTCCTTACATGCCGTTCCTCGTTTCAAGTTACCTACCGCTTTCTCAACTTCTGCAAGTGTTGGGGGGGGGGGCACTATCTCAATGTTTTATCCAGGATCCAACTAGATAACCGGCAACCGAATAGTAACTAGAGGCCAGTTGAACTGTTCTTCGAAGTGTTCTGCCAATCATTCCAGTCGTTTCCTCTGCGAGTGAATCGCAGACTTATCCTTATCCGCTGTAGTCTCACTAACCGTTGATCTTTTCGGCCCAGTCTGCATAACATTTTACTGTTATCTATTGCTGCTATCTTTTCCATCTCTATAGCCTTTGCTGCCCCCTATTGTCCACGGTCATTGCGTAGACTTCTTGTCAGTCTACGTTTGAGTTGCGTTCGCTCCTTATTGTACTCGGAGCCTGCAGGGATGCGTTCACGTGCATTCATGAATTTAGAAGGTGCTGCTGATATCCACTGGCTCTTTTTAACCGAGGTTTAAAAGTTAGCTACCGTCCTCAAAGCTGTTTTTATAGCAGACTGGAGATAGCACCAAGCTTCTTCTAGACGAGTGATAGTATTCTGTTCCGATAACTGCCTAGCCAGTCTCGCTCTGAAAGAGACCTTAATGCTCTCTCATTGATGAGCTGCACTCGTAATGGTCTTGTTGCCGAAGTTTTTCCACGTCCATTAAGCCGCAGAAATATACGCGCTCTCACCATCTAACATGTGCTTCAGAAGGAGTGGTACTCTTACACCGATCCTCTCCACAGATGACTGATAGCAATGTGGTTTATCTGTGTCAGTCGCTGAGTTGAACTCGGCGGACGCTACGTCAAACAATGTTTTTCTTGGTGTTTGAAGTTTGCGCTAGACAGAAATAAACGGTTATTTGAGCACAGATGTAGTAGGGGATCGCCGTTATCTGTTCGTTCAGCGGGGACTCCGAAAGTGTTATCTGAGTGCCTTCCTGTCTGACTCAACCTACCTCCTTGTGCACTGATATCACCTGCAAGAACCACTATGTTTGAACATTTGGCTTTCAGGGGGCTGGACACTTTTCGGTAGAACTCATCTTTCAATTTATCTTAACTGCAGTCAGTGGGTGTGTCAGAGATTACAAAGAGACAATGGCATTTGATTATTACTTTCAGTTCTCACTGTGCCGTTCAGCCAGACGTGTAGATGACAGTCAACTGGGATCTAGTTTAGTAGCGAGCTTTCTGCTCTAATGCTTAATGCTATCCATACACCTAGAAGACTGCAAGAACTAACCATCGAATCTTCAGAAACTCGAAGGGTGAATTTCGCGAATTCGCCATATTGGTCAGGAGAATAACTGCATTTGGGTCCTGGATATGTCTCACAAACGCAGCACAAATTTATGGTCTGAGTTGCTGGAGTTTTGACCAATTTGATGCTGGGTGCGGATATTGAAGGCTCAGATGTGTAATTTGGAGCATGGTTTAAGATCAGGGATGATGTTCTGTGAACTCAGATCATTTGTCAAAAGCCATAGAGATGGAAGTTGAAGGTGTAGGAGTGTTAACTGAGAAAAGTGAAGGGAGATTAGAAGGTAAGGATGAGCTAGATGGGTAGTGATCTTGGGAACTTCAGCAATGATGGAATTGAGAGCGGTCTACACTTCCCGGCTGCCCACACCGTGGAAGGCGTCCTCTTGCGGTACCTGAAGGAGATTTGTGTGACCACAGAGCCCCATGGGATATCCGTTTGAGGTCTGTCACACACATTCTTTTAAGGATTGTTGGTATGGTATTTGGTCGTTCTAACGCCGGATAGACATAAAACCCATACCACCGGTACCGGGAGATCGGGGCATGGAGAAGTTTTATTTTGGGAGCGACCTTTTCTAGCTCCCCTTCCGATGAGAAGAAAGCACCAGAGTAGGACTGCTGGTCATCCAAGGAAAACACCTTACTGCTGCCATACCCCCATTTAGTTAGCAGCAGTACGACTTCGCTCAGACTCCCATCATATTGCCGTAATTTACACTACAACGATTACTGTTTTTCGTTTTACCACCATCCAACAGACCTTTCTAGCACAGTATGATCTTGATGGAATAAGCGTTCTACCGGCATAGCTCGTTGGGTCATTGTGATACGCAAGTCTGACCACTACGTCAAGATGACAGCTGTCGGTCGGGGTCCAAGCACAACGACAGGAAGCAGCAACAACAGAGTCCATAATGACGGCGAGCACCGGTGGACAGAGAAGTTTAAAGAAATGGAGAACCCAGAAGAGACTTGAAACATTATACAGATATTTCCTCTGATCAAGGAGATTGTAGCTAAAAGATCAATGGCTAATAAAACCATGGCAGAGAATGATGGGTTTGCCATTCACCCTCAGAGGAGGACAACTGGAACGGTGGGGGGGGGGACTCTTCCACAGTGAGTGGTTTGTTGCTACCACACTTTACTGACTACTATCCAGTCAGATCCTGAATGGACCAGTGAGATAGGACCTCTAGTACTTTCAAGAGTCGAGAAAGCTGTAAGTAATTTCAAACGAAGAAGGGTAACGGGATCGAAGACTACCGGTCAAGTTAGCTGATGTTAATCAATGTACGGGAGACATATCATCCTCTATTACTGGTTCCAATCACTGGTCGTCGCAGGACTCAAGAAAGGTGAGAAGTCCTCTTCTGATGACCAGAAGGGAATCACCTCGATGAATATAGTGTTTACGATTCTAGTTCTTTATAATCCCTGGACGTCTGAGTGGAGCTGAAGAACAAAAATCCCAAAAGCCGGTTTCCAACCAGATCGTGGATACATCAACCAGAGATTTCCTCTCCATCAGGTCTTAGAACGCAGGCGCATGCAACGATGCCTGACACTAACTGTACTTCCTGATGTGAAGGTGGCTTTTGACTGCATCAATGGAAGTCTTATGGCAGTGCCTCTCACTGACAGGTGTACTGGTACATCACTGTCAAAAACTCTGTAACCAAACACCTGTGAGCATGTTCGACGTTACAGTGAGCTATCAGGCGATTTGAGCACGTCGAGTGGTATCCGCTAAGGATGTCTACTATCTCCATTCTTCAACTTTAGCATAGATGCAACCAAGTAGGTCTCCATCTTATCGTCTGACTATAGGGATTGATCTTGTCACAGGAGAATCCCAAGTATATCTAGGATATGCAAATGATATAGTTCTGATAAGATGCGGAGTTTTCTGGACACCTAAGTTAGCAATTTAAAATGTTTGAATTGCGTTTCTCCCCACCCAAATGCAAATTGCCGCTGCCTATCTAACAATAGAGAGTGGGATGGTTGAGTGTGTTGAATACACTTACCTGAGAAGTCATATCAAACCAGGTAGGTTGGTGACCAACGGAATCTCTGCACAGATACAAAATGTTCGACTGACTTCCGTTGACTGACGCCATTTATGGTGGCGGCGTGATATCCGATAACCTTTTCACGGTCCAGTGTACTGCAGTGCAATTCGCTTACTATGTGGCTGTGAACCATGGATTTTAGAAGTAGAATGGGCTCTAGGTGCTCGATCATTGTTGCTTTCGGAGCATCAGTCTTTTTCGTGGTGACAAAAGTTCGGTGGTGTAAGAGTCAGACTTCGAATTTCCGGCAGTTAAGCAAACTCTATTGAAGTTTTAGACATACACTGAATCAGATGGTCGGCAGATGTGTTATGCATGCTTATTCACCGTCTATCCCACTGCAGAACCCTATCTGAAGTGGGGTCAGGTTGGAGAAAGTTGGAGGCAGTCACAGTAAAACATGGTACCAGTTCAGAAAGTCTATGACTGCTGGACTGACCGGTGTAAGGAAGTGTGAACCTCCAGGCTGGTATATCAAGACTACCAAACTAGGAGATTATAGGTTGTATGGCTCAGAATGGATCTCAGTGGTGCAGATGGATTCACACCTTATCTTAATCGTCACACTATTTTCTCATTCTCTCCCTTCATTTTGCAACTTTTTGACTGCTTTTGTCCTTATTTGTTCATATTTCACCTTACTGCTTTCTTGCTTGATGTGCTGATACGAGGTGAGACAACTTGAATTGCTATGCAATAATGCCCTGTCCCAAGTTGATACTGTTCTCTATCTGAGGAAGAACGAAAAGAATCGGCTTTCACAAAGTAGTCCCAATGAATACCAACCTCCATGCTAAAACGCACCATCTCGGCTCAAAATGAATCACATGGGTTTTTTACTAGGTGCTATCATTCCTATGGAAAGAATGGTGGTCGAAAATGCAGTTGCCAAACATCCTCAGCACGGTCGCAGAGCCGAACTTCGACCAAAAGAAAAAAACCAACGTAGGACCTAGCACAGAAGTGCAGACTCAAATTAACGCACAGTACAGTAGCATGCAAAGAACCAGTGGATCGAAAAAGACATGCTAAAGTAGACAAAGGTGGATGGGAAGGAGAAATTTGAAAATGAAATTCAGTGAAAATGTGCAAGCCTTACAAGACGTCAGTGGGTGAATACATTGTGACCTATTTTCAGCCACGTCGCTAAGGGTCTCCAACAGTTTATTCCTATTATCTTGATAACCCCAGTGAGACAGTCCACACCCACCTACACGACTCAAACCAATAATCAGAAACTTTATCGTCTGATGCCATTTTGGTCCGGTCACCATAAGCTTGCTTCAACCCAATTCTACTTCGGTTAACAAGCCACGTCAAGGAAGGTGGTGCCTCGACAAACTAGCTCTGCCGGTGGAAGATCATGTTATCGACTGACTAGTCTTTCTCGCCTAGCACCCTACGTCTATCCTCCACATTCCTTTTACGGCGGTTACAAAAAACGAGAGTAACAACAGTACAGCAACAAAGATCAAAAGCCTATAACTTCTTCATTACCCTCAACAGCAGCGTTTGAGTCGCATAATCGAGATGAACTCAGAACCCAAACACACATTCCGCAATAGAAAATAAGCGACATACTTTACGCTTATGAAACTATCTGGCTGCTTAAATCCCATTAGATGGAGTGGGTTTCAAACGCACGACGACGGTTAATTCGAGTGCCTAGGTCAATTAGCCACAGCTACATAACCAGAATGCCGACCGCAGAGGAGTGTACCCGGTAGGTACCATAGATACAATCAGCTGGCGATTTCCAAACGTGCAATTTTTATTTGCGCTGAGATTGTCATCAACCAAAGCATTTCTGTGTATACAACTTCCCAAATTAAGTGGTCAGTACATCCCACTACTTCACTTCCTACCTTTAAACTGGGAGTAGATGCAGACCAAGCACGTAGCATCGTTTTACATTTGGTAGATGTAAAAACCCATACTTTGGCATCAGCTTAAGGTGCTCAGAAGTCTACATTCTGTCAGTCTTCGTCTAACAGGACAATGGTATCTGCGTACTCCAAACTAAAAAGATGCCCCCATGTATCAAGTCAATTTCTGTGAAGTCGGTGATCGTAACCGTGACAACTGGTACCCAACGCTGGTATTAGTGGTCACTTCTTCAGGTGATAACTCTACAGCCCTTACATAGCTGGGTGAGTTCCAGTACACAGCTATGAAGAGCGCTACACTGCTGCTCCGCACCCCTTCACAGCCCGACCCAAGTGTTCGAAAATCATACATAGGAGGGAAATGTGGTTTAGGCATTCCTAAACTAGCTTCAACAAGCTACGATTAGTTGGCATGACACGGTTAAGTGGACTATAGTCATGCATACACCCAGATTTCCTTTACCATGGATCGGAAACATCGAACTGCTTCAAGCTGCATTTCATTACCAAAGCTAGTCGTGCATCTGCCAAAGAACTTATAACCACGTTGTCTTTCACTTCAGATTTTCAGACGCCCACCAGATTTTATACCTACATGCTACACTTATAAGACTTCCTACCCAGTGATGAATGCAATGGTCTGAAGAATTCGTAACCCGTACACAACCTATCCAATTACTACTAACAGGATCAATAAATCGAAAAACGTAAAATTAGATGTAAGACCAAACCAGGTGGCTGAGACAGTAAGTCTGAAATATGCAAGATTACAAGCATGTCCTAAGATTAGTTTGAATGTAGATGTGGTTTTTTTCGGTGCATCAGAGAACTTAAGACGCCAGGAAGGTAGTTTGTTAATCTTTAACAATTCTCAGCTCATCAATTTATTGCCAGATAGCAGAAATTAGGAACTGGAGAGTCTAAAATGGTAAAACAGCTGTCATCAGCAAAACCTCAAACAGCTAAGAGCCTACATAAACTACAATAATTCAGAAGTCACGGACTAACGAAGTTACTCATTGCTTGGGATCGTCATCTTTTCATGATAGTTAGCTATTAATTAATTTTACGTCATCCAACAATGTTCTGTCAAATATATTCTGTAGCTTGTTACAGAATTAAATAACTAATCTTGAAACGAACAGAAAATACATCGTACTTACCTGATGGATCATCCGTACCAAGTATATCAAGATCCAAGACGATAAGTACAACTCTACAAAAATAGTTATTTAGTGAGGAAGAGACTACTTGTTATTTTGGATGTTGTTACAAACATGCTTCCTAACGCGTATTATAGAATTGGTAACCAGTTTGTTCTCATCGATGAGGTGATTCAGTTGAGTAGCAAGCATCGCAACTGAAATTGCTCATAAGCGAATAAAATCCTACATGAATGGGTCTTTACACCATCAGAAAGAAGCAATCGATAACGATTTTGGCCACCACCACCACCTGGAACGCTCTTGAAACCCTGAGAAGGATCATTGGTTCAATAAGGAGTTACCAGCAACTTAAGAACAGGCTCATCAACATTCTTCCCGTTATTTATCGCCTAACAACTATTTAAGATGAAGATATACCTTACATCAATCGCCCCAACAGTAAGGTTGAACATTCTATGCCTTCAAATTAAAACCGTACCAGTTGACGTCAGGTTTAAAACAATTTCAAGGACAAAGACTGGTGGTTTTTAATTGGCCCCAATTTTACGAATCACAAACTATCTTGTTTAGGTTTTCGCTCCCACAACACTCCTCAAATTCCTTCAGGTTGTTTTATATTCAGTTTTAATGAATGGTTTGCTGAATGTATACTGATGACCTTCTTGTCTAGGATAATGTTTCAAAGGGTTGGTAACGGAACAGAAGCTTTTGCTTAACTGGCTTGCGTGTATAAAAGCAGTTAGTCACAAGTTCTTTAGGTTGTCAACTTGTGTGCAAAACAAGGGCGAATAAGATGACGGCTACGGTGGACTGAGCTCCCGTCTACATCATGAGTAGGTGTAAATTCAGAGTTTGAAGACTTCAGGAGCAGTATCCTCGACCACCCTATCAGGAAGAGGACTTCAACATTTAGCAACACCTAAGAGGAAGCAATTGCACCTTATTTCTAAAATACTGCGTTCTACGCTTGATTTCAGTGTCCTCTAAGAGTGGAGTTGCAACTAAAGTAGAGCAAATAGTGGGGTGGACTTACGTGGGTTTTCAGAATATTATAAGCCATTGTCAAACCCTTCCCTTGCCTTCTGGACTCTAGAGAATATGGTTAAAGGCTACCTTCGCTCCTAACGCCTCGAACCTAAGTCAACTAACAGATTTTACTGAATGCGTTCTAGGTCACAGTTGTACCTCCACACACTTCCCCAAAATCAATAGCCTAGGGTTTGACGACTTTTGACATTGATGCTGACCTTGATAGTTTAACTGGACTCGCTAAGCTAAAGGCACCCTGTCAAGCATCCTCGCCATTTGACACGCTTTCATGTTACGCTGCACTGCTCGTATTCGACTCTCTAGCCAGTTAGTTGGAACGCATCGTTATCGTGGCACAACCATCCAAATACACTATTCCGTCCGACTACGATATCGTGTTCTTCCTTGGTGTCGTACTTGTGGGTATATAACAAGTCCGAATAATTAGTGACTGGTCTTTGCGTCTGTCAAGTTCGCTTCAGGACAATTCCTAAAATCTAATCTAAGTAAACATCTGCGTTCGAGCATTTCCTACTCTTCAAGTGTCACGGTTCGCAGCGACAAAGATGAACACCACTGAAATTGGACGATGTGTTGGAAAGAAACAAACATTTGAAGGACTGAGGATTAATGGCAATCAGTTTTTCACACTAAATACCTTCAGGTATGCAGCATTATCAAGGAGGTATATTCACTGTTAGTTAAAGTACTAGGAAAATCTGTTGCCTTTAGTGTCGCTGAGTAGGTTGAATTATTTGATTCAATTGTTCATCCAGATTCGCGCTGCCACTGTGACCGTCCGTAAACTTCAGTAAGTCGGGGATAGATAAATGTTCATGTGGTGACAAGGCCTACTGCATAGCAAATTTCGCCGTGGCACAGCTTCATTTGTAACCATCGACCGTTGACGAGTTTTCATCTGGCTTGTAGGTAGGTAGACAGGTAGGAAACTTGTTGCAGGTGGGTGCTTAGAGCAGTGGAAGTTTGGTGGTCACCATGACGATCTGGAGGGCGAAATAGGAAGAGAAAAAGGCGAACCAACGACTCGGCAAGTACATGGAATGTAGTTAGATTTGGCGGCAAAAGATAATTGACAAACGGTAGGGCTCCAAAATGGATAGGTGAGACAGTCTGGAAATCGAAACTGGAAGCGAATGGGTAAGATTTCGAATGCATTGCATATTCTTCTGGGAAACAAGTGATTTTTGGAAGTGCGTAACGTATAATCGTCATTTGAGTCCGGCTGATAAGAGTGAAAGTTATCTAGGCGATATGTGCCTTCGGGGTTTTTAGCTGAATAATTAGCTTGTTCTTCGTTCAGACTCCCAGGTAATTCGGTTTTTTCTCTCATAGTCCATTTTTCCATAGCTTAGTAACATCTTGATGTTGCCAGTATCTGAAATTCTGGCGGTAAAAAAAATAACGAAAACGGGTATACCTTCTGTACCTTAACAGTAGGGGCCTTCTGTGTTGTCTATCTTTAAAATTTAACTTCATCGGAGACAGTGTCCGGAAGACTTTCCAGCCAGTTGGATCTATTCGTTGGTAATAATCCAGTGCATTTGTCCGAGTGCATCATCACTGAATTTTCGTTTTTTCTCACTTCCTTCGATTGATTTCGATGTTCTTCTGAAAAACTGTGCCAATAGCTGAGTTTTCCGTTCACATAGTTAAGACAGTAGTTTAAAACTGTTGATTCGAAACGGCTAGTATCTCCATATCAAACCGGGACTGGGTCTTCTGTTTCATCAGTCAGATTTTCTAACTGGATTTCTGTACGAGGGGCGTTGACTTTTGAGGTCACACCACAGAACCCAAACCCCGGGTTGCAAGACTTGCATTTGAGTTGGTAGTACATTTGAACAGTTGAATACATATTCCTCAGGATACGAAGGGAAGACGTCTCCCTTGGTTGCAGACTTTAGGCTTTTACATAGTTTCGGTCTGACGTCATCAGTTCACTTCGTTGTAACGGTAGCAATATACTTTTCGGGTCCTGCCGTCTCATCACCAGATAATTCGAAAAGAGCTATTGATTTTGGTGGTGGGCCATGTCCAACTTTGGGTAAACGGCTACAGAGTCAATATGATAAGGGCTGTGTCACTTCAAAGTATCTGAATCAGGAGAAATATGTTTCCGTCCGAAGTTCCTCCAAAACATCTTAAGATATTAATGTTTCTGTAAGACGTTTTCCCCAAAAGCAGAATGTTCACATTTGTTTGAGTATCGATTTTATAAAAGCATTTCCATAGTCTACAGAAAGTAGAGTAGTGACAGTGAACGCGTTGTTGTAACAATACGGACCTCAGCCTATTAGGAATGGGTAATTCCTGAAAACTGTGGCACAAAATATCGGTAAAGAAAAAACGCTGTGCCCTACATTTCTTACCTGCATGATAGAAGTTAAAATGAAGGATCGTGTGAATTCACCGATAAAAGTATGTCACATGCACTTCAGCATCTCAGCGACTAATAATTTACGCAACTAAAGGAAGAAATAAACATCACAGGGAGGAATCGCAACAGAATCTTCATCATATAATAATCTTTGTAGTGACACCATTGCCGTAACGGTTACATTAACTGTACTACAAATTCTAGTGCCCCGATCTATTTAGGACACTTGGTACGCTTGCATAGAACCTTTGTGTATGGGGTACGGGCCGTGCTTTATCCAAGAGTCAAATACTTTCGACATGTAGGTAGATATATCTTACTCAGCATGTGCAGTAACCGCGTGATTTAAGTAAGAGCTCCATGGTTGCTGCGTGGGCAGCATAACTATAACTATATGAAGCTCAGGTCATTTGGTGTGGAAAACCCCTTACATAACTGGTTTGCATCATTCCTTCATGAACGCTCTCAGATAGTTAAAGTAAACGATTGCTTTCTGACCCTTTACCAACTACAACTGCTGCAGTACAAGGAAGTGCTGTCGGTCCAATTCTCTTTCTCATGTATGTTAATGGCATATTCAAAGTGATCAAACATGGGAAACCATACCTTTATGCTGACAACCTGAGGATTGTTTACAGCTTCCAGGGTCTGTCAGCAGCTCAAGCAGATTTAAATAATCTACTTGAGTGAAGTCAGAAGTGGCAACTTGGATTCAGGCATGACAAATGTGGAATTCTATACCTCGGAAATTATTATCCTATCAGCAAGCTATCCGTAGGAGATCATGAAATTCAAAAACTCAATAAGGTTCGCGACCTGGGCGTCCAATATTCTGATAACCTTAGCTTCATTGAACATGCCTCAGCTATCGCCTCTAAAGCTGGCAGATTGTCTGGTTCCCTTCTGAAGAGCTTCTATACAAAAGGGGTCAAACTTGCCCTTTTTAAGCTGTGTTAGGCCGGTACCAGAGTATGGCTCACTCTGGTTTTATAACATGAACAAAACTGACAAACCACAACTTGAATACTTCCAAAAGAGTTTCACTAAACGATTAGTGAGTCAAGCTGGCAACGTAGACTACATAGATAGGTGCACTATACCGTCCATTGAACCGCTGTGGAAACGGCGTCTAAGAAAAGTCTTAGTTCTCTTGTACAAAATTTTGCATGGTCTGTAGTACTGTTCCTCCCCACCCGCTTGGAGATATGTACCGCCATATGACCTTAGAAATCATACACTGACGTTATCAATAGAAGGATGCAATAAACAGGTCAGATGTAAATTCCTTACTACTTATTACAGCTCGATCTCGAATAGGCTCCCCGTAATTCTACACAGCAGCACCTTTGTGTAGCAGTTTAAGCGGCTTATCAACTTGCTTTGAGGTTCAAATGATATCTACGGTCTGTTTGTAGATAGATGCCTTTCAACACAGGCACTCAGAGATGGCTATGTAGGACCCTAGTGTCTCCAAAGTAGTGAAATGTAGATGGGATCTCTCTCTATGGCCTATTCAACGAATTAAATAGCTTCAGATTTGGAATGATGATAACAGTGTGTATCAGGCACTTTCCCCTCTGTTGTATAGCCGATACCATCGTACGAGGTTGGCTCACATTGTAAACAAGATACTCATCTGACTGAAAACGACGTCCAAATCCACTTAGTTGTACTGCCGGAAAGTCTGTCCTCAGAATTCCTCGCAAAGGTCCATACATCAAACTTTCCTACCTTCCACACACTATGAATCCCATTAATTCACTTATTTACGCCGAAACTTTGCGTTCAGAGGCCTCTGCATACGCCCGCATGCGTGATGTCTACTTTTTCCTTGTCTCTTAAATTCCCAGCTGGACGTCCCAACTGCCCAGACAAATAGTTCCAGTGCTATACTTTGTGTTTATCGTGCATAAAAGTCAGGCTACAATCTTGCCGCAGTTTATTACAAAAAAGACGGATAATTGTCGTGCAACAACTCTTAAATTGACATCTGATCTCTCTTTCTTTGGTTACTCTGTTCATATC